CACTGGTTGCTTCGGACGAGGATTCCTACGTGCCGGGTAGTCTTCCTCTGATCTGTAGATGGTTCCGTCGCATGCAACGGAAGGGCCAAAATTTTTTAGAGCTGCTGGACGATGTTGAGCAATTTATTTTTCGCCCCTATTGTGCCTCATCAGAGGGCTTTAGAAGTATGCCCTTCTATGCTGATTCTGCTGCTTTAATGGAGGCCCTGGCCACGCCAACACAAGGTTGTCGGTTACGCAGAGAGGCATTGTTGAGTGCCGCATGCCTCCCTCTGCCCACATTCGGTGATGACCACTTGGAGACTTCTGTGCATTATTCCCCTTACCGGGTTAGACGACAGCTTGGGTTTGACCAAGGTGTGCCCTCTTCTCCCAACCATGGAGATTCCTCGAGCTTGCACAGGGTTTTCTGGACTGGTGACAGCGTGCCGGGAGACGGCAGGCCTCTTGCCCTTGCTCTGGCCAGCCGGAAACGCGTTGGTGGTCTCTCAAAGGCCTACCAAAATTATTGGAACCGCTGCTTTGCCTCGTTCAGCCGATTCCATGCTGCCCATTGTGATAGCTTGATTCCCACCGTCATTCATCATGCCCGTTTAGTGTCGGAAGAGAAAGCCATTTCCTTGAGCGAGAAGCGAAATCTGCCCTTTATCTCCAAGAGTGGAGAAATTGTTGGTGATTTTTCGAAGCTAAAGCGGAAGTTGGAAAAGTCGGGTTCTCATAGTGCCGGGAAGAGTGTTGCACATGGGAAACGGAAGCGTGAGGAAAGCTGCAGCGCCGAGAAAAGGCAAGCTGTGAAAGAACCGAAAAGGTTCATCCCCAAGGTAGCGGCAGGTGGTCCTCCCAGCTCAAGAAAGGTTGCCTTGCCCGAGTCCTTACAGCAGCAGCCTACGGCTTCCGGCAGCAGCGAGCGAGCAGTTCTAACAGCTTCATCTCCTCACAGTAAGTATTGCTATTTGTTTGCTCCCTTTGTTCCCGCTCTTTGCGTATATATAAGTATCCCTTTCATCTTATTTTGCAGGTACTTTCCAAAGTAAAGGCAAGGGTAAGGGGTTTTCCGTGACCCCGAAACGTCGAAGCATGCGTATTCTTGAAACGCGGTTTGCTAATACCCGAAAGAATAAGGGTGAAGACTCGGGACCCAAAGTAGTGGTGACGGTTGATGATAACAGTGATGATGATAGTGATGGCGACGGCGCTGCGGGAACTGAGGCTAACATTCATGAGCAAGAGAGTGCTCACGATACGAGTGGCATGGACGAGGACTTTGATGAAGGCCAATACGATAGTCACGACGAAGACACCTATCCGGCTTTCGGCACTAGCTTGGGGGAGTTCGATGACCCAGATACGACTCCCGCTTTGACTGGCGATCATGGACAGCGTGTCGATATTGAACTGGTATCAAATATCCCTCTTGCTTGTTTTGCTTCGGAATATTGACATTGCATGCTGCCCGTTGTGTCCTCTAGCTCATACTCCGTCTTTCTTCTGCAGGTCGTGCCCGCCATTGAAGGCACGATAGGTGCTTCATCGGAGGCTGATTTTGCCCTTCCCACTACTGTCGCTGAAGTTGTCCTGAGCCTTCCGGCAGTGCAACCTCCTCCTTCTCCTGACCCATGTACCTCTGACATGGCTGCTGATGCCTCTCCACTACTTCCAACAGTTCCTCCTCCTATTTCTCCAATTCCGAACGTACCTGCCATAGCTTCCGGCACTGCTCTACTTCTTCCAGCAGCACATCCCCCTACTCTCCCAATCTCGAGCACACCTGACATAGCTTCCGGCACCACTCCACCTCTTCCAGCAGCACATCTCTGTGATAAGAATGTTGGTGCTTTTATCGCAGGTTCCTCAAAAGGGCCTTCATTCGAGAAAGGCATGTCTTGGCAAGATTGGGAGAATTCCTACACGGCATTCAAAGCCTTCTTTGATGGTGGTGTCACCATTCTTAGATCCATTGATGAACTTCTTCCGCTTTGCCACAGATTCGATGGCTATGCAACATTCCAAGGCGCCCTTGTGTATCCAGAGACGGTTGGAGCCTTGAAAAAGTTCATGGACAAATACGGGAGTTTGCTGGAAGCTACAGATGTCACCTCCTCTTTCTCAAGGGGTACTGCCCTTCGAGCGCTTGGCTTAGTACTTCATGGGATGGACACCATGCAACTCCTTGATATTACAGATCATAAACTGCTCTGTTGGCGAGATGCAATATGCGAGGCCATGATTCTGGGCTTCCCTGTGGAATTTCTCCTTAAACTCGTGAAGAGCTTAGCACGTGCCGTTTTTGGAGCACGGGCCATTCGTAGTATGCAATTATCGCATGATTCCGATGAAGTAAAAGCTGCTGCAGATGCCTTGAATATTAAACAACAGGAGTTGGAAAACCAGCGCCGGGAGATGCATGCCCTTCTTCTTGCTAAGGGAGTTTCTGTTGACAGCGCTGAGTGCGTGACGGAGGCAGCAGCCAGATTATCTCCTGGGGCTTCCTTTGTTCTTTTGGACATTCCCCATAGCCTACAGGTACTCAGCTTATCCATTATATTTTTTTATATTACGTATTCCAGCAGCAGCTATTTTTTGACACACATTTTCTTTTATCTTTTGCAGATTGCCCATCCTTGGCTTAGTGACCATTTAGCTTGGCTCGTGATCCTGCTTTTCTTCGTGACTTAAGGGCGCGTGAACCTTCAGCAGATGCAGCTTTATTTTGCTTTGTTTGTAGTGTTGTTTTTTTTTCTTTTGAGACTCTAACGACTACGTCGTTATGCCTTTGTAATTTTGATATTAAACTACCGAAGCTTGTATGAATTTCTGAATGCTTGAGGCATGTTGCATATTTCCGGTGTAGATATGTATATATACTGCTTTGTTGGCCAGAATTGTCTTTATGGACTGCTTGACATTTTGACAGGTTGGATATCATTGAAAACAGGGTATATGCTGTCAATTTTTTTTTAGAAACCGAGTCTTCGAAAGCTTCTTTTGCATGGCTTATCTAGATTCTAAGCTTGACAAAATAGCTTCCCACCTTTCCCAAAGGGTCGATCCAACATGTGCATGATTTCTAGCCGAGCTTTATAAAGCTTCCAGGTGTTATATCGTATCGTTCCAGCATCTCAGAATTGCATATTTCTATGCCTTATGCTATTATTATTTTTTTTTGCTTAAGCGTGATGCTTGGGACCCCATCTAAATGACTTTGCCCGACATGTTTTACTGCTAAGTAGCATGTTTATATATATATATATATATATGGAAAATTTGATAAAGGATTAATAATAGTACGGTTTTGGAGACATAATATATATTTTTCAAAATATTCCTTCATCTTCATTGCAAAAGCCCTTGCTACCATAATGGGTGCATCATACAAAAGTGTCTTTTTTCCAAAACGTGAAAATAAGACAGAAGGATTTTTTTTTTTTTGACAGAAAGAAAATACAAAAGTACTAGGCATAAAATTAACTTAGCAGTAATAGAGCTTGAGCCACTTCCCATTGACGGGGTCGGTTAGCGTGCCTTCTTTGACAGAGACCAAGCGATAATAGCCACTGCTGTGAACCTCTTTGACTGCAAACGGGCCTTCCCATTGTGGCGCAAACTTGGAAGGTCCCGACACTTGTCTTCTCACATGCTCCGCAACTTTTAGCACGAGGTCTCCTTGCTTGAAGGCGCGAGGCTTAACTGTCCTGTTATAGGCTTGAGCTACGGTTCTGTGGTACAATGCTGTCTTCTTTTCGGCTACCGCTCTTTTTTCATCCAAGGCTTCAAGGTCCAGCAGGCGCCATTCCGAGCATGACTTTGTATCCCATTCAAGGTCGTTAACAGCTGCTGTTCTGGCAGTGGGGATGGTAATCTCTACTGGTGAAATGGCATCGGACCCGTACACAAGTGAATATGGCGAGAAACCTGTGGCACTTCTTGAAGAGGTGCGGTAGGCCCATAAAGCATCCGGCAGGTGAACACTCCAACCTCCTTCATACTCATAAACCATTTTGCTTAGGATCCTCAATAAAGTCTTGTTTGTGGCTTCCGCTTGACCATTTCCTTGTGGATAATAAGGCGTGGAGCGGCGATGCTTGATACCATAACCACTAAGTGTCGAGCTTACTTGCTTATTGACAAACGGGGTGCCATTGTCAGTGACAATCTTGTATGGGATCCCAAATCTGCATACAATATTTTCACGGATGAAATTGGCAACGGCAGCTCCCGTGGCCTTCCGCAAGGGAACCGCTTCTACCCACTTTGTAAAATATTCGGTGGCCGTGATGATCCATATGTAGCTGTCGGATGGTGGATGAATAGTCCCGATCAAATCAAGCCCCCAAGTATGGAAGGGCCAAGGGGTGCGCATGTCTTGCAGCAGCGTGGGAGGCTTATGGCTTAAATTGGCGTGAACTTGACATGTGTGACACCTCTTCACAAAGTCGTATGCATCATTCTTCATTGTAGGCCAATAATACCCAACACTCAGCAGCTGCCGGTAAAGCTTCTTCATTCCTTGGTGTTCACCACATTCTCCAGCATGAATCTCTTGCATGACTTGCTGTGCCTCTGACTTTCCCAAGCATTTTAATGGCTCACCATTAAACCCCTTACGGTAAAGAGTTGACCCATCTATGAAGTATCTTTTCATTGTCCTTTTGAGCTTGCGTGCATGCTTGGGATTGGTTGGCAGACTCCATTGACGAAGGATGCCAAGTATGGAGCCCTCCAATCCTCCGCAAATGAGACGGTGAACGATTCCTCGGTGGAAGGTATTTTTGCACACTTGGGACAATTGGCTTGTATTTCAGCTGCTTGTTTCCCTCATTTCTGGCCAGTAATAACCCTTGCGCTGCAGCGCCGGTACAAGCTGATTATTGGCTCCAAATTGCAAGTGACCTCATGTACCTCTTGAAGCTTCTCCTGTGCTTCTGTTATCCCTATGCAGCGGGTCAAAATACCTCCCGGAAGGCGTCTGTACAGTTCCCCAAAGATGATCACATAATCCTTCAATCTTTGATGTTGCTTCCTTTGCCTATTTTTTCTTTCACAAGCTTCCTCCAGTCATCCTCTTCCAGCCGCTCCTCTTGAGCCATTGCTTCAACAACTGGTATGTCCTTCTTGATTACTGCAATATTGGGCTGTTCGTCAATAAATGAGAGCCTTGACCCCAAAGTGGCCAACGCATCAGCATATCTATTAGTGACTCCCGGGATATGTTTCCAACACAACTTGTTTGAACGAACGAACAAGCCTTTCAGCAGCTGTACGATATGGTGCCAATGCTGGTTCCTTCACGGCGAAATTTCCTTGTAATTGACTCAGCACCCAAGTTTGAATCCCCAATAATTTTAATTCTTTCGACACCCATTTCCCTTGCTGTAGACATCCCTGCAATAAAAGCTTCGTACTCTGCCGTATTATTCGTGCATGGGAAATTTAGCTTAAACGAGAGGGCCGTAGCTTGCCCCTCGGGATCGACAAGCACCACACCTGCCCCTCCACTCTTCGATGTAGAAGACCCATCGAAGTAGAGGGTCCATGGTTCTGCCTCTGTGACAACAGCAACCATTTCCGGCAGCTCCCCCAGAACTTCCTTAGAGATTGTTGATTCTTCAACTTCGGGAAATAGAGCCAACATGTCAATAACGGCCTGCCCTTTGATGGCTTTTGGAGTAGTGCAGGTGATATCGAACTCGGACAGCTGTAGCAACCAACGTGCAAGGCGTCCGGATAATATCGGCCTTGTAAGCAAATATCTTACGGGATCAGACTTCACCATGAGATGTAGCTTGTGAGCAAGGAAGTAATGTCGCAAGCGCTGTGCAGCATAGACAAGAGCAAGGCACAAAAGTTCAGTTTTTCGGATATCTTACTTCAGATCCCCTTAGTTGCCTACTTACGTAATAAATAGGACTTTCTTCCCCACTATGATCATCTTGAGCAAGTAAGGCCCCAACCGCTGTGTTTGTTGCAGCCAAATAAAGCTTGAGAGGCAGCCCCGGAATAGGTGCTTTCATAGTGGGCAGCTTGGCGATTATTTGTTGCACCTTCTTGTAAGCTTCTTGGCACTTCTCACTCCATTCATACCTCTTGCCTTTCTTGAGCAATGGAGTAAAAGCACTCATGGTGGCAGCAAGGCCTGGGATAAAGCGCCGAATATACGATAATCTTCCCATAAAGCTTTTCAATTCTTTTGGGCTTTTAGGCGGTGCAAGAGAATTTATGGCTTTAGTCTTTTCTGGATCCACATCTATGCCACGCTGGTGTACTTGAAACCCCAAGAATTTACCAGATGAAACCCCGAACGCACACTTCTTTGGATTCATCTTCAAACTGTACAGCCGACACCTTTCCAGCACTCTCCTTAAAACTTCTTGATGGCCTTCTCTGGTTTTGGACTTCACCACAAGGTCATCCACATAATCTTCAACTTCTTTTCCCATCATGTCGTGAAACACCGCTGTCATAGCTCTTTGGTAGGTGGCGCCAGCATTTTTGAGGCCGAACGGCATGACCGTATAATAAAAATTCCCATACGGTGTTCGAAAGGCTGTCTTTTCAGCATCCTTGGGAGACATCTTGATCTGATTGTAGCCACTAAACCCATCCATGAATGACAACAAGCCTTGACCCGAGGTCGAATCAATTAAGATATCCATGTTTGGCAGCGGGAACTCATCCTTTGGGCAAGCTCGGTTGAGATCTCGATAATCCGTGCATATTCTGATCACACCGGTTTTCTTCTTCACAGGGACAATATTTGCTAGCCACGTAGGATGCTTGATTGGTTTAATAAATCCGGCAGCTAACAACTTTTCAATTTCTACCTTGATTTGCTTCTCAACTTCAGGATGAAAATTCCTTCTTGCCTGCACGACAGGTTTTGTACCAAGCTCAATATTCAGAGTATGACTTACTAAGCTTGGGTTCAGACCAGGCATTTCCTCATAGCTCCAAGCGAACACATCTCGAAATTCCTTTAGCAAAGATATCAAGGCCGCCCTCTCCTCATTTGTTAAATGAACACTTATGGAAATGGGCCTCGGGGCAGAGGGATCCTCACTCAAATCAATTGTTTCCAGCTGCTCAGCTACTGCTGACGATCCATCTTGCATGTGTCTGGGTGCTGCCATTGGCTCCTGGAAAGCACAAGGCAAGGGTGCCTTGTCGTTGGAACTCCCACAGCTATTTGTTTGCATTACTTTTCCTCCATACTCGGGGCTTTCCCGTAAGACACGGTCAAGCCCCCAACCCCGTCATAAGCGGTACACGATACGTCCATCGGGCAGCGTCACTTTTGAGCATTGGGGATGATCATAGGCATGGTTGTTGACTTCCGAGTGCCTCTTTCTCTCTCGATCGACAATGGTGATGAGCTCCTCATTGCTTAAATCACGAATTTCAGTCCATGAAGGAAGGTAGGTCCCGAAATCCTTGGATGGATTGCTTCCAGCACCTGTGCATTCAGTGTAGAACTCTGCTTCAGAGTAGTGAGCTTCATCTTTGTTGAAAGGTGCTTGGTTTCCAGGTATGCGTAGCGGCCTCAGCCCAATCCTTCCTTTTACGCATTGATGATAGGTAGAGACCACAAGCTTATGCTTGTTGAGCCATGGCCTTCCAAGCAAAGCATGGTAAGCCACATCCACATCCACAACATAGAACTTAGTAAGTGACCGAATTGGTCCAACCTTCAAATGTACTTGTAGATGCCCGACTGTGACCTCACTCTTATTCCCGAAACCACTGATGCTTGTTTGTGATTGGACAATTTTGGACAATGGGATACCAGCTGCCGTAAGCACAGACAGAGGTAATATGTTGACAGAGGAACCCGTGTCCACCAAAGCTCTCCTTATGAACACATCATTGATCTGTCCCTCCAAGTAAAGCGGCCTCCTATGGTCCGGGTATGGGACTTCCATGTCTTCGTCCGTAAAGACAATAGCGTTGTCATTTCCCAAGAATGACCTTTGTGGTTGAGTTGTAAAGCATTGAGAATTAGACTCCTCAGAGATATTCATCAGGGCTACAGCAGCTGCTTCTCTTGCTTGAGGCCCGAAGCCAAGTTGGTCAAAAGTGATTTGAACTTTGGATTTCTTTGAAGGACCTGTGAAGCTGTGGGCCCCTGTTTCATGCTTAAATAACGTTCCATCACACTTGTTTCAGCTTCCGTGATATTGTGAAATGTCACGGCAGCTGCTTCCTGCTGCTCCGATAAAGCCCCCGAGTAGCGTTCTTCCGGCATGTCCAAGACAAAAATTTCGCTGCCTGAGTTGTCACCCCCATCCATCAGCGAGTGGCCATGGTGTGTTGTAACTTGAAGGCCTCGAATATTTACACCAATATGCCTTTTCCATGTTTCCGCAAGGTTCCCATATGGCTTCCGGCGGCTTTGGGTCATTCCTCCAAGGGTGGCACAATTCATTATCATCAAGCAAATCATCAGAACATGTAATGACAGCGGCTACCTCCTTTCCCCTTCGTTTTGGCAAGGGGTCTTCATCAATGGTTTGCTTCCTAGAGGGAAGTTCAAGGACTCCCTCATGTATTTTGGCGTGTAAAATCCTCCTCAAGCTCTGACAGGCAGTGGTTGGATGCCCCACAAATTGATGATAACGGCAGTACCTAGGATCATTCTTTTCCTCTCGAGTAGGAACCTTGTAGGGTCTGACAGGTTTGATTACGCCATCAGCGATCATTGTGTCAAGGATAGCATGAAATTCTTCATCTTTGCATGGTAGTGGTGGATACGTCTCTCTATCCTTGCGTTTGCGTGAATTGTAGTCGTTGGATGGCTTGTCATCTATTGCTAATGTCTGATGCGCTTCCTTCTTCTCATTCCTCCAAGTCCTTTGTCCTGGTGGCCTGACGGACATGCTCGTCTTCCTCACAGCTTCCAGCAGCCGAGAAAATTGACTAATGCCAATATTCTCCAAATACACTCTATAATCTGCCACGATATTGCTGATGCAAATCTCAACAAGCGCCTCCTCGTCCTTCTCATCATAGCAATCTAATGCCAGGTCCCGGAACCTGCGTACAAAGTCCACAGGATCCTCACCATGCTTTTGGCGGGTGTTGTTGAGTTGAGTGGTGGTGACTCGTTCTTCATGCTGGAAATACTTCTTGCAGAACCTGCTTGCCAGACTTTCCCAGGAATGAATAGAGCCTGATGCCAACGTTGTATACCATGTGTAAGCACGATCGGTGAGACTCTTTGAAAATTCTCTAAGTCGAAGATTATGATCACCAGCATACGGTCCCAAGGCATCGATGAAGCGATTGACATGCTCCTTCGGGCTCCCCTTTCGTCCATCAAAGAGGACAAAGGTCGGTGCTTCATAGCCTTTAGGATATGGCTGCTGGAGTAAGCTTGATGGATACGGCGGCTGAGGAAGATACTTCCAATCTTCCTGACTTCGACTCAGCTCCTTTTCCAGCATGGCAACAACGTCCTCCTGAGTGACAAAAGATGGTCCCTTCTGCTCAGACTCCTTTCCGGCAGCAGCAGATTCCTCCTGTGGGTGCTTCTCATTCACTTCACTTGGCTTTGGAGCCGAATTTTTGAGTTCTTTTATCATTTCTGCCATTTCCCTCTGGGTGTCACCCATAGCACGGATGGCTGCAACAAGATCTGTGAGGGTAAAAGTTCCCTCACTTGCACGTTCTTCTTCTCTAGAAGAGGCATGTTGCCTTGACTCTGAGTCAGCATGGCTTGGCCCATCCTGGGAAGTTATGTTGTTGCTTCTGGTCTTCTTTCTTGGAGGCATTGATGAAGGTAATGGCTTAATCCCCAGCAGAGTCGCCAATTTATGTAGGGGACTTTTTCTTCCTGCAGCTAACGGGCTGGGCTGCTGCAAAAGGTGGACTGAGGAGATTGCCCCTTTTCGTTTAGGTTCGAAAATTAAGCCTCAAAATACCTCGAAAGGGCAGCGAAACCTTAGGAGATATTTTGAGTAATCTTCACCAATGAGAATAATAGTGACTTACAGATAATTTTTGCATGCTTTCAGATGGATTTTAGGCTCAGCATGAGTGGCATGAGGCATGGAGAGCAAAACCAACATGGGTTTAGCACTAAGAGAGAAATTAGGCTTGGTTTATGAGGAATGAAAGTGTTTAAGTAAGGAATGGGGTGTTTTGTGAGGAATTTTGGCTAGAAAAAGAGAAAGAGAGAGACAGGGTTCTTCCAGCAGCTACCAGAAGAACAAATTGGAGAAGAAGATGAACAGTGCACGAATCTAAGTTTTGCAAGATAGAGAGAAAAGCTTGCTCTCTGCAGGTTGTGAGTTGTGTTTGTTGGGTAGGGGAAGGCTTAATTTATAGCTGCCGGAAATCACCATTTTTCAAGAAACCCTAATGGCTCCTTCTTACTTTGGCTGAGATTTTCTTCCTTTCTCCTCCCCTTCTCTGACTTCCCTTTCTTGGCAAAGATGGCTTCTGTCTATCTTCATGAATTTAGGAGATTTTGGGGCTCAACATCCCTCTTTCCCGCGGCTACGCAGTGAGGGCTTCCACTCTTAGTTTGCTGTTTTTCTTCCTTTTCTTTCTTCTTCTTTGGCTGAATCTGATGAAGGAAAGGAGGTGCAAATGTATGCTGGTCCAAGGGATGCTTCTGACAGCATGCAGGATGGTATTCATCGGTTCTTTGGATGTCTCTGGCTTGGGACTGGTTTCCAGCAGCTTACTTAAGGAGCCTGCCATCTACTCCTTCACGTGTTCTCTGTTTTTCAAAAAAAAGGCTGAAGCTCTTGTGGGCCTTTTTGGGTTTTTCTAAGGGCCAAGATGGCTTTCTTAAGCGAATGGGCTTATTGGGCTTGATTTGGGTTTATTATTATTTTTGGTTGGGTTATCTCTTGGCTAGGTTATTTTGCTTGGGCTTTTGGGCTATTTTTTCTCTCTTGTGCCTACCCACATGTTTGGGGCCTAAGAAATGGGCCTGAGTCTCGAGGCTCCCAAGCAACCCGAGACTTTCCATTTCTTGGTCCATCAATGGGCCTCATGTTGATTTATCACCATCCATGCCACAACCCACTCAAGCAAGCCCCGGGTCTTTTTTGAGTGGCTTGGGCCCACCTAGGCTTGTAGCGTGGTTGGGTGCGAGATAACGGCATGGCATGTTGCTCGGCATATTTTACCTTATCGCCCTTGGGAAGGATTGTTTTAATTTTTTAGCATGATTATATTTTATCATAGCATGATAATTTGTTTATTTAGCGTGGCGTGTGGGTTATAACTTGCATGCGATAGATCCCTTTTTTCTTTTCCCTTATGGAATATTGTATTGGGCTGATAATTGTTCGGGCCCAATCCATGGATTTTTTGGGCCTCAACACCTGACAAAAAGAATAAGAAAGGGTGTTAAATATTGTTTGTGGCCAAGGGGTTGTGTATATATGAATCTTAAAAACAACAGGGAAGCAGTTTGGTAATACCTCTGGCTCTTTGCTGCTTCTGCCATTGTTGATAGGCTTTTTAGCACTCTTTTATGATATTTGTACCTCTGCAAATACAATGTACATTGTTTTTATGGTCATTTTCTATTTGTATTGTTTCTTCCAAAGCATTCAACGATTTGTTTTTGGTTGCTTAATTTTGTCTTCTTTGTCTGTTCTTTCTTACTTATTTTTACTAAACAAGGCATGATACATGAATAGTCTACTGCCATATTTGCCACTTTGTAGTTTGTGTCTCACTCAGTCAGGAGGACCAACCTCAACTCTTAGTCCAAGTTAGAAAGTCCAACAAAAGTCAACCTTTGTTGTGGTCAATGTGTCAATATTACATTGAGAATTCAAGAGATAGTCTTGCATGATTGAATATTACAAGAACTTGAAAAATGGTCTTTCACTCTGTTAATCTCAAAAGGGTGTGACTTCTTGTGAAAGAAAGAAGAGACCAGAAGGACTACGATTTCAAAACACTGCTAACCCCACAACAATTTCAGCGGCTCCATCAATGGTGAAGATGCCAGCATTGAAGTTGAAATATGTTTTGACAAATCCAGGGCATCGACAGTTGGCGCAGATACTTGGGTACTTCTTGGCATGAAGGAGAAGAAAGTTCATATTTTCTCTCGGTCATAATTATTGGAAACCTTCCTACAATGAGCCTCTACCAACCAACATAAGACCAAAAATTTTGTGCATCTAAACCAGACACTAGCTTCACTTAAGGTTCAAGTAATGTATTATTTGATTGCTAATTAATGTATCAACATTTTATCTATCAAGAATCAAAGAACTCTGTAACATGCACTAACCAGCTAATTAGGCAGCTAGGGTTTGTTCAGAAGTTCATGTCATACGAAAGGAGCTCTTGGAATCATGTTATGGAGGCAAGAACTGTTCTACACAGATAATAGTGTGATTGTATTTAGAAACAAAAAGGTACAATTTAACTAGACTAGTCCACTGGATAAAAATATCTCCCCCTTATTAGTTAATTCTATAAGATCAATCACATCCTAGAACAATTACAAACCATATAAAGCGGAAAATTAAACCATGACTGCGCTGACCAAGTGCTGCACCCCTAACCCCCAAACTTGCATTTTCTTACTGATCAGCTTACCTTACCAAGTCCTGCAGCTGCAGCAGCTCTGAGAGCTTCAGGGTTCATAATGGTTCCATAACCCCTGCATTGTTTATCTATGGAAGTTCCACACGTCTCATCTTTGTTAAATCCTTGTCAACCATAACCAAAAATGCATTGGAGAAAAAAAAATTATCGATAATTTTCGAAATGAGCATAAAAATGAGAAAGAGAAGCTGATTATACATACCAAGATGTCTAGTTTGCCAACTGGGTTGTGACAAAATTTGCAAGGGAAGCAATGCCAGAAGGGTCTGTGACATCAAGCTGATGAAAAACCACACGGTCTGAGAGGCCACACTCTTTCAATTTTTCAACAGCTTCAATACCCTTCTTCTCATCACTAGTGAAATTAGACATGCATTGATTTTTCATTTGGGTTGGCTCGGCAAAAAAGAAACCTGCCAATAAAAATAAATAAAAATAAAAACAGAAAACTTGGGTATTTAATTCTTGTCCAAAATAAATCAAGAAAACAGAAAACTTGGGAGCCAAGCTAATTTCAGTCCAACTCCAACAGAAAACTTGGGTATTTAATTCGCCCCAACACCCCCCCCCCCCCTCTCTCTCTCTCTCTCTCTCTCTCTCCAACACAAACTAGGAATCCTCAATTTTTGGTTCTTTATCTGAATGCTTTCAATCTTCGGACTCCTCATCTTGACAGCACACGTAACTCCTAATCCAGAGTTAATTTAAATCCTCTCTCTCTCTATACATATAGGGCCAAAGAGCCTTGATAGCACACCTAACTCCTAAACCTGACTTATTTTACATCAGAGGCATTCTAGAATCAACAATAATGAATTCTGAATCTTTTTTTGCTGAAACTGGCAGCACCGAGAGGACGAGGTTTTTGGGCCTACTGCTGTTAATTCCAGGGGCTCTAATACTGGCGATGGGTTGTTGTGAGATGTCATTGTTGAAGGCGGTGAGGTTATTGGTTGCGGTTTTCGTGTTTGCTTCAACTGTGTAAGTGGCATGTTTTAATATTATTTTAGATCAAAATTTTAAATTATTTTAATGTTGGTTGTGATTTTCGTAGATACAAGCCCACACACTTAGCGCCGCCTACAAGAGGTTTTTTTCTCAAAATAAAATAAAATTTATTTTAGAATTAAAAAAAAGATAATGATTAGTCGTGTTCCATAAAAATATGATTTATTATCTGATTTTTCTTTTAATTTTATTTTTTTTAAATATAAAAAAGTATAAATTTATCATATTATCCTCATTTAATTAATAATTCTAATGGCACTTTTTGATATTTTGAATATTTTACCATTATTGTTATTATTATTAGCCTCTCCGCACGTACTTCCGCTCCCTAGTGAGGCTTTTTTTAAATAAAAAATATATTTATTTTAGAATTAAAAATAATAATGGGTTTTTGTACTCCACAAAAATAGGATCTATTATCTAAATTTTCTTTTAATTTTAATTTTTTAAAATATAAAAAGTGTGAATTTACCATATTATCCTCATTTAATTAATAATTCCAATTCTTAATGTTTGCATTAACCAATGACATTTTCTAGTATTTTAAATATTTTACCATTCTCTATCTTTTGCTTTATATATACTAGCCCATTGGCACATGCTCACGCATGTGCTAATTAGTTTTATTTTTTATTTTATTTTTAGAATTAAGAAAAGATAACATGGGTAGTTATGTTCCATAAAAGTATGACCTATTATTTGATTTTATTTTTATTTTTCAATTTAAAAAAATTTATTTTAGAATTAAAAAAATATAATGGGTAGTTGTGTTCCATAAAAATAGGATCCATTATCTGATTTTTCTTTTAATTTTAATTTTTTTTAATATGAAAAAGTGTGAATTTACCATATTATCCTTATTTAATTAATAATTTCAATTCTTAATGTTTACATTAACCAAGGGTATTTTTTGGTATTTTGAATGTTTCACCATTCTCTGCCTTTTGCTGTATATATATAGATAGATATATTAATTATTTTTTAACGATTAATCTTAATCTTGCAGGATCCCGGAGGTCATTACTCTCGTGTCATGGGCCGACCAGTTGCAAACATGGCTCCGTCAATTAAAGACCAAGCTGGACAAAGTAGCCTAGTCCTACATCAACGGCCCAGCCCAGAAATTCTTGGGGCAACTAATGGAACTTGATACTACAAGACCCTTGACAATTTGTTTTTTGTTTTCTGTTCTTAATATAATCTTAGTTTCATTTTATTAATAGTATCATTTATTACTATTCCCCCCCCCCCCCCCTTTCCCTTTTGGACATTTCCTATTTAGAGAGGTGATAGTAGGGAGTGGCATTTTAGACCGAAAAACTACATAAACCAACCGAGATATTACCGTATTTGAACCGAACAAACGGGAAAACCGACTGTAATTTGATGTTTGAGAAACCGCACCGCAATTGCAACCAACCAACCAGTTAATTACAAAATCAATTTAAAGCTAGATATTTGGTGTGTCTGCAAAAATAAATTTAAAATAAATTTCAATAATGTTAGTAGTCAAAAGCTAATCAAGTACACCATATTTTATAACCCTTGATTTTAAATATATATTTATAAATAAAAAAATAAAATAAAAAACACAGTCGCATTTGGCCAGCTTGTATCATATAGATCATATATATTTCAAACTAATTCATTGAAATAGTGTCCCTTTTAATTATGATATTATTCACTAAATTTTTATTAAGTATTAACATTCTGACATTATTTCTTTGTATGAATTTAGTTACATATTTGAATTTGTGGTTTGCAGTTGTGTACGTTCTCTTTATTCACTTGTATATCTGTAATTGAGAGTTTGCTTCGACAAAATTTAAAATTTTATTATTATATTTCTTTTGTTTCGAAACAAATTTAAAAGGTAAATAAATAAATAAAGCTTTAATTAATTTGTGTTGAATCTTTACACTGGCTATTCATTTGGAATAACTAATTGTTTTTTTTCTTCGAAGCATAGACTATAGCTTATTTTATTAATATTTTAACTGCTGACTTTATTTCAATAGCATTAATATATTAATGTTCTATTCATATGATATCAATTATCTTTGGTTTTGGAAAATGGATCAAATTACGTTATTTGTGGTGTCTTTCGAGTATTTTATATAAAAACAAAAATGTTAGGCTTACCACATTTTTCATACCACAATTATACCACCTCTCTAATAGAGGTGGACCCCATTGTATTGGTGGGCTCCACCTCTATTAGAGATGTGGTACAATTGTGGTATAAAAAATGTGGTAAACCTAGCATTACTCATATAAAAATACATATAACGATTGTGTTCAAGGTTTATCTTATTTATGGGAATAGAGATTTGCATGATTTTCAAGTGGGAGTTATGATGGAATCAATATATCAAGGGTCCAATATCATATATCGCGAGATAAGTGCTACCAATTAAGCTTGTGGGGTGGTTTTATCATAGAAAAATGTATTATTGGCTTGGTATAGCATGTATATTATTTATATATTTATTTAATGAATTAATTCAGTGAATGTATGGTTTTTGTAATTTTCTTTTGGCTTCCCTTGACAACTTTATAATAGGATGTGTATTGTTATTTATCAAGCTCAAGTTTAGATTAAGGAAAACTTTTCTTGGTGTTCTTCTCTAATTTCTATTCTATGGAGGTTCAAGCAAGTTGACAAAGGTATTGTGCATTGCATATCATTACATTAAACAGTCTTCATAAAATGATGACTAGTCATTCGTTTCTCATATGACTAGTCATCCTTGCTTTGTAGGATTTCTAGCTGGATAACAAATTGTTTTGTCCTATTCTTCTTTCTCTCTCTCTGCTGCCATGTGGGTTTCTGACCTAAGGAATTTTTTGGTCTGTAAAGGCTACGATTTTGCTCATTTGGCAGCTGTCTCTTTTGGGTGGAAGTTTTGGAAAGATTGGCTTGCTATCTTTCTCTTCTTCTTCCTCAAGAGAGAACCAAATATTTCATCTATGAGTTTTTCCAATTGATTTCTTTTTGAAAAACTGAATTTGAAACTCGAATCTGCATCTAGCTACTTAAATCATTCTCTCATTTATATCTAGGTCAGATTCAAGACTGATTTCTTCAAGAGTATGGTTTCTTGAAGAAATTGGTCATTCCCCTTTGAATCCAAATTTTGGTTTCGGTTTGTGTTGGAGCTTGCAAGCTAGTGCCATGGGATGAACGAGCTGGAGAAGGAGCTGCCATTGCCATGAAGAACTGAGCTTCAAGCTTTGCTAAGTTGGAGAAGAAGATTGCACAAAGGAGGTATAGCTCATCTTCCTAAATAGATTTAGGTTTTTCTTGAGCTTGCTTGTGTTCCTTTGTAAGAATCTTTTTCTACTTAGTGGATTGCCTGGTCGGTTGATGACCCCCAGTTTTTCCCAATGGTGGGTTTCTGGGTGAACAGTTTCTGGTTTCCATCTCTGTAAATTTTCTGGGTTTGTGTTCTTGATAGTTGACTAGTCATCTGGGTTTGTGCGGTTGACTAGTCATCTTTTTCTGTTGTTTGGTGTTTGCTTGATTATGCTGTCTTCACACACTTTCACCATAGTTGTTGCTAGCACAGGGGATGCCTAGATTGACGGGTCCTTCTAAGTGCCTAGGTTGTCACTAGTAATTCTCTAGGCTTGTAGGTTCATCTTGGTATGCTCTGTGTATGTTATTGTTTGGTATAATTCATATCTGACAGTTGACTAGTCATAAGAGTATGAGTATTTGGTCAAGGTCTAGAGTGTGTTAAGTTTGCTGCGTTCTTGGTTGAATATCTTTTAAATTTACCTCTCGTCACCTAAGTACCAATTTCAATTGGTATCAAAGCACCAGCTCTTGACATAAATAGAGATATCCTTTGGGTGCTAATTGGTATTAGGTGTGCAAACATAAAAATGGATCAAATTGCTTCTTGCATTCATGATGAGCTTGCCTTGTTTGTTCAGAAATATAGAAGGGTTGTCAAAGATAAAACCAAAGTCACTAGGAATTGTCAAAATCTTCCTAGTTTGTCTACATGTGTGTCTCAAGACAATGTTTTTAAGGAGATGTATTTTTTGGACTTTTATGGCTTTAGGGAGGACAAAAGTTTGAAGGGTCTTGTAAAGTGCTATCTATGTGGTGGTGCTGGTCACATTGATGTGGAATATGCAAATAACCACATGATAGAGTCTAATGGGAGAGAAGAGTCAATTAGTGCACAATGGAGTGATAATGATAGTGATGATTCCAATAACTATATCACTTCATCTTTTGAAGAGGCAAAATTTTTTGCCCTTGTTGGTTCTATTCATAACTCTAGCCTTGCTAGAGTTCATGTAGTTAAGGAAGGAAAAACTGATTCAGGAAATCAATCTGTGTCTAGAGATGATAAACAGGATAACCAGTCATACAAGGAACAAGATGACCAGTCATACTTGGGTATATGTGAAAAGTATGATGTCCTTTTTAATGAAACTTCCAAGCTTAAGGAAAGAAATTTCTTACCTGAAAGGAAGGTAAAGAACTTGGAAATTCTTAATTGCACTTTTAAAGAAGTAAATAATGAATTGAGTGAAAATGTTGAGACCTTGGAGAGTGAAAGGAATTCATTGATTGTCATTAAAAATGACATTTCAAACCAATTGAATGTGCTCAAGGAAAACAACTTGGTTTTTCAAACCAATTTCAGCATCTTAGTTTCCATTTGCCATGTATAACCACAGTCTAATACGAATTAAACTGTGGTTATACATGTTATTTGTTATATATTTCATACTCATCATATATGACCATGCCTAATTGGATTCATGGATACATATTGTTCACCGTTTAAGGATGGATGTTGTTATCATTTAGGTTCTTGAACTCTATAGGCTATATGATGAAGAATAATCTGATTGATTTGAGTAGAACCCATCTGCAAAAGAGCGTTTACTTCCTATTTCTAAGGTTTTTCATTTTCTTATATAAAAACAAAACTGTTATATTTCTAGTGAGTGGATACTTTTTAAATGAAGTGACATGTCTATATTAAATGTCAAGCGAATCTTAAAAGGGTATTCAAATTTTATGGTATCAAATTAACAGATTTTTTGACAACATCAAATAACATGTATATACTTGATGTGCGGGCCGTGAAGAACGAGTTCTGACACAAAATATTGTACAACTAAAACTGATAAATTCGTAAACCTAAAAAATATTTGGGAAATTGGCGGCTTTACCCCTGGCTCACTTAATTTATTCATTAATATCCTTATTTTGAAACTCAATCACAAATGCCCCTTATAAAAACTCATTATTGACAGCCTATTGCCCTTCCTTCACTTTTTTTTATCTCAATCGTTGTTCTTTCTCTTCCTCTTCTTCCTTCTGCCAAACCTCACAAAATCCATCTCAACCATAGAATATCCCCTAACTCTATCTCCTCTTTGTTATGTCTTCCAACTAGGAGCTGATTTCAACCTCAAGGTTGAACCCCAAATTTGGAATAGGACCCTAGCTAAGGCACGACTCGCCACCTCCGTTGTTGGCCTCCATAAAGAAGCCACAGTCTTGACTTGCCACCTCCGTTGTCGACTTCCACCACAAAGCCACGGCACCGTCATCGTCGATCTTCACTGTGGTGAGTTCTGATATTTTTATTTTTATTTTTTGGTTTTTTGGTTTTGGGTTTTTTTGATTGATTGAGATTATTGGGTGATTGCTTTCACTGTTTTGAATGAGATATTAATGGGTTTATGTTGTGGCTTGCTGTTTCTGTTATTGAATGAAATTTACCAACTATTTCATGTGGTTGTTAAGCTCTTGGACTTGGATACATTTTATTGTGCTTATGATTTGTCTTTGAAATGATGTATACACTGTTTTGTGATTGAGACTTGGACTTGCAGATCTCCTTGAAAGTAATGTATTCACTCTTTTGGGTGGTATGATATTCGATATGAAATAATCTTGGACAGTTAAGGTTTGTCAATTTGTAAGTAGTTAGTTAGTAATAGGATACCCTAGGTTAATGACTTTGAGTTGGATTTAACTTTAAGAGTTCTTGATACATGCCTTCCTTGCTGGAGCTTGAAACACAACTATACTAGCTGAACCGTTTCACTTTGCATAATACTGATGTTTTAAAATTGTTGGTTATTGATGTTTTATCTATATGGTTTATCCACTAGTTGATAGATTTTTTATTGGTAGCTTTACATGTGTTAACAAAAGGAAATTTTATGATGGTCAAAAATGGACACAATTGCAATTTTGGTTTGCTACAATGGAAAATGGGTAACCTCAAAGAAGATGTGCACATATGAAGGGGGTGACACAAAAGGCATAATAGTTTCGCGAAACATCACGTTTGGTGAGCTTTTGGAACGGGTGCATAAGATTGTTAATACAGACAACAGGGAAGTCAAGCTTTGTTTAAAGTTCTTAGTTTCAATATCCTCGAATGAGTGTAAGCATATCAAGATTGAGGACAATGATGATGTTAAATTTTTTATTAAGTACAGTTGTGACGTAATTCCTTCGAAAGTGGCTCCTTTACTGGTGAGCATAGAAGACAAAGGAGTGACAAATGTCGTAGGTGATCGTATGCATATCACGACGGATATGAGTCGAATGGCCTGTTCTTCAAATGCCATAGTTGAAAGCAATGGTGATGTACATGGTGATTTTGGAACACAATATTTAGACATGATTGATTTTACAGGGGTGGATGGGGTGCATAGTGGTGATAATGGTACGGAAATGAATGGCTTGCAAATGCACTCAGCCCCTCCTATTTTGGCCCATTTGGAGACATTTTCACAAGTGGGTGTGGTGGGTTCCGGAACAACGTCTGAACTTTCTATTCGACATAATTGGAGGCAAATGGGTGAACAAAACGTGCACAATTTGGGTATTGTAAATGATGAAGAAGAAGATATTGAAAGCGCGTATTCACGGAATAATTGGGATCCAAAATTGGAAGTTGGGAAAATTTTCTCTAGTAAGGAAGCCCTATCCAACAAGTTACAGTTGGCGGCAATAAGAGGTCACTTTGAATTTAAGGTGAAGCAGTCTTGCAAGAGTCGATTGGTTGTGGTTTGTTCTCAAGGTCCATGCCCATGGCGGCTTCGTGCATCTAGTTATGGAGAAAAGAACTTCATGATTGTGAAATATAATCCCGTCCATGAATGTGATATGAGTTTTATACATGACAAGCATCGTCACGCAAGTGCTAAACTCGTTGGTAATGCAGTGAAGCGGAAATTGAAAGATTCTCGCACAATATACACACCAAGTGATATAATCAGAGATGTGAAACAAAACTTTGGTGTCACCATTAATTATTGCAAAGCTTGGAGATCGAGGGAGTTAGCTCTAATGTCCACTAGAGGTTCAGTAGAGGAGGCATATTCTCTCCTTCCAGCTTATTGTCATGAATTAGAACGTGTGAATTCTGGCACAAGGACATACATCCACACCGATGAGAACAATCACTTTTTGTATTTTTTTATGGCTGTTGGGGCATGTATTAGAGGGTTTCAATCTTCAATGCGGCCAGTCATTGCTGTGGATGCCACGCATTTAAAATGTAAGTATAAAAGTGTCCTCTTTGTTGCCAATGCATTTGACGGAAATCGAAATATATATCCTCTTGCTTTTGAAATTGGGGATTTAGAGACGGATGCATCATGGCATTGGTTTTTCAGCAAGCTTCATGAAGCTATTGGTGAGTGTCCAAATCTTGTGATTATTTCTGATCGGAATATTAGCATAGAAAATGTGTGGCACAACATTTTTCCAACGGCGCAACATGGCATATGCTTTTACCATATGAAGGGGAACATGAAACGCACTTTCAAATTGAAAAAAACGTGATAAATTATTGCTATACTTTGAACAAGCTGCGAAATCTTATGGTATCGCTGAATTTGATCGTCATTTTCACAAGATCAAGGGAAATGATGAGGTTGCTCAATATCTTGAAAGTGCAGGATTACACAAGTGGTCTAGACCTCATATGGATGGACGTCGATACAATGTAATGACAACAAATATTGCGGAGTCAATCAACTCAGTCCTTCGGTTCGCAAGGATGCTACCTGTGGTGCATTTGATTGATGAAATCATCAATCTGCTTGTAAAATGGTTTAGTAAACGTCGTGATTTTGCTTTGAAATGTACATCAACATTGTGCCCTGACTTTGGCGAGAAAAAGTTGAGACGCAGGTTGGAATGTGCTTCAAGGATGAATGTTGTGAAACTGAATCACGTAGAGTATAATGTCGTGGACGGTGATATGGACGGCCACGTACATTTGACGAATAACACTTGCAGTTGTAGGAAGTTTCAGCTTGAGCAACTACCTTGCAAGCATGTAGTTGCAGTTTGCCGTTTCTTAAAACTAAATGTATACTCCATGGCTTCTCGTTATTACACTCAAAATACATGGTTGGATGCTTATTCAGATACCATCTACCCGGTACAGCCTCAAGAGTTGTGGGTTATTCCTGAAGATGTCCAAAGTAGAGTTGTGCGTCCTCCAAATGCAAAGGTCATGCCAGGTCAACGAAAAAGTTAAGGATTCCCTCGCAAGGAGAGGATATCATAAAGAGAAAATGCTCAAGGTGCAGTGGCACAGGCCACAATAAAAGCACCTGTAAAAACAATGTTCCACTACCTAATGTTGGACATATATTATGAATTGTGTTGGTTTGTTATGGAGTGTGAATTTGAATTATATTTGTATTAGGTTTGGTGTTCTGTGGATTGTGAATTATGTTAAATTTTCATAATTTTGTATGTATTTGTGTATTCTATGTGCTACATTGTTGTTAACATCTGTCATTTTTGGGCCTATATTGTGTATTCAAATTTTCTGATTCAGTTGGTCAAATCGGGGGTGTGTATGCCATTCTCATCCCCATCCCCACCTTCATACCTGCAATACAGACTTGAAAAAAAAAGATATACGAGGGCAATACACTAGCAATATACAAGCAATAAAGGGCTATACAATGGCAATACACATACTCCCCTATAAATTTATCCCAACACAGACTTAAAAAAAAAGATATACGGGGGGGGCAATACAATAGCAATACACAAGCAATAAAATGCTACAATGACAATACATAAGCAATAAAAGGCTATACAATGGCAATACACAAACTCCATACCCCCCTATAAATTTATTCCAACACAGACTTGAAAAAAAAGATATACAGGGGCTATATAGTAGAAATACACAAGCAATAAAATGCTATACAATGGCAATACAAAAACTTCATAATCCCGTTATAAATTTATTCCTACAGACTTTTTAAAAAAAGATGTACGAGGGCAATACACAAGCAATAAAGGGCTACACATGTGCAATACATATGCAATACATATCTGTCATGTCATTTGCCAATTAAATCACTGATTTGGTTACATTTGTATTTTTTTTTTCCTTCTTTGCAAAGGGAACAATAAAACCATGGAAACTAGAGATTGACAAATTTCCTTCTAACTTGACCTTCATAAATTGATGAACTAACAATGTTATCTCATTACATCTTAAGATATACATAAGAAAGTTGCAAAAAAAAAATTAAATTTACATCTCCTCTTGGTTGGGAATTTGAACACATTAACAAAATTCGACGACATTTCCTCTTACAACCGAATTTAAGCTGAAAGTTAGCAACTTCCTCCCCAAGAGAACGCTGCCACTTGAAAAAAGACAATCTTCCATCTGTATAAAACAGATCAAAAATGCATATTAGAAGCAAATCATTCAATCACAATGGAAACAAAAACATAATATTCAATCACAACTGAAACCAATTTCAAAACAGAATCTCGCTTAATTCAATTTTCTCTTAGTTATATCTTCAAACTAGGAGCTAATTTGAACCTTAAGGTTGAACCCCAAATTCGGAATCAAACCCTAGCTAAGGGGTGACTCGCCACCCTCCGTCGTCGGCCTCCATAACGAAGCCATAATCGTGATTCTCCACCTTCGTTGTCGACTTCCACCACAAAGCCACAACACCTTCATCTTCGATCTTCACTGGTGGTGAGTTCTATTTATTTTTTTGGTTTTTTTTTTTTTTTTTTTTTTTTTTTATGGGTGATTTAGATTATTGGGTGATTACTTTCATTATTTTGAATGAGACATTAATGGGTTTCTGTTGTGGTTTGTTTGCGTTTTTAAGCTTGCTTTAGTTTGCACACAGCCGGTCGGCATTTGCATTGTAAACATGCAATTGCACGACATTGATGCAATGCGAGAGTGACTGTGCGCAAACCCCTACAAAGGAAAACTGGATCAAATTTTTTTTACTGGCATAATTGTCATTCTCTTGTTCCCCCGCCTTATTTTCTATCTAGTTGGTGAAACAGAATAAGGGAATCCGAACACAAACAGAATGTGAACTTTAATTTTGCAATGGTATTATCTTGTGAAAGTTTGCTATATGAAGAATTGGGTCATTTACTTGCTAACAATCTGTATGAAGGTAGGATTATTGAAGGTAGTCCTTCACTGGAGAAACCATAGATACATTTCTCAGAGGTATATATAACTCAGCAAACTTCATGCTTTGCTTTTAATTGATGTATATCATAATTTTTTTTTCTTTCTTTTATTAAAAAAATGTATATCATACTGCAGTTTTACATTTATCCATTCTATTTGTTGTAATGCATGTAAATGTATGTGTCTGATACTTGTAGCGCTTGTAAATATGTCTGAACTTGTTTTGGTATTGGTTTCTGAATCTGTTTTGGTATTGGTTTCTGTTATGAATTTTGGAATTAGTTTCTGTTTTGAAATTGGTTTCAGTTGTGATTGAATGATTGAATGTCATAGCCCTTAGAATTCCTGCAAAATAATAACATGAACTTTACTTCTCAATTTCACAATGACACAAAACAGTGTAGTATTAACTTGTTCATAGCACAAGTTAAATGGCGACATAGAAACGAAAGAAACTCAAGACATGACACAAAAGTTGAAAAATAAGAAATAAATATAATAGAATTCCAAATATCAAATGACATAATAAACTGACATAATATGGCACTTGTGTAAGTCCTCATGTAAAAACAGGGACATTTCTCAAGCATTGTTAAAGGGTAATCAAACTAATGTCAACGGTGATCTAACAAAACCATAATGCACCGTAAAGACATCTTCGTAGACAAATTATAATAAAACTCACATGTTCTTCCTTCCATTTAGATGGGTTCATTGGGTCCTCCTAAAAGTTCACCTTTAAGTATATACCAGGAGAATTGTCTCAATTGGTTTGTATCTCAAAGAAAACCATAGTGCGCTCATTAAGGTGATTCATCGAACACCTGCATGCCTTTTTTTCATGCACTCATCAACTCAACCTAACCAAACAAATAGAACCATATATTCAGAACAAGCAAATAAGCATGATAAATAAAACGATGTACCAAGAATTTGGATTTTGTGCAACTTTATATAACATTGTATGAAATTGAAATAAGCAGAAGAAAACCCAAATAACAAGTTGCTCAGAAAAGCCAGAAGTCCTAATTTGATATATCACCTAAATGCTTTCACAGACAAATCACAATCACAAAAGAGTGAATACACCACTTTCAAGGAGGTCTGCAAGTCTAAGTCTCAATCACAAACCAGTATATGCATGATTTTAGAGACAAATCTTAAGTACAAACAATGTATCCAAGTCCAAGAACTTGACAACCACAGGAAATAATTGGTAAATTTCATTCAATCACAGAAACAACAAACAAACCACAACAGAAACCCATTAATGTCTCATTCAAAATAATGAAAGTAATCACCCAATAATCTCAATCAACAACAGAAACCCTAAAAAAAAAAAAACCAAAACCAATATTAGAACTCACCACAGTGAAGATCGAAGATGAAGGTGTAGTGGCTTTGTGGTGGAAGTCGACGAAGAAGGTGGAGAGTCACGATTATGGCTTCGTTATGGAGGCCGACGACGGAGGTGGCGAGTCACTCCTTGGCTATGGTTCGATTCCGAATTTGGGGTTCAACCTTAAGGTTCAAATTAGCTCCTAGTTTGAAGATATAACTAAGAGAAAATTGAATTAAGCGAGATTCTACGATGGAAGTGGATTCCTGTCAGGTTTGGCAGAAGGAAGAAGAGGAAGAGACTAGATAGAAGAGGAAGAAGAAGAGCAACGACTGAGAAGAAAAAAAAAGTGACAGATGGGCAATAGACTGTCAATATGGAGTTTTTATAGGGGGTATTTGTGATTAGATTTCAAAATGGGAATATTAGTGAATAAATTAGGTGAGCTAGGGGTAAAGCCGCCAATTTCCCAAAATATTTTACGATAAAATGTCTTTAACTAATTCATTTTAATAGTGAGCCACCCAATTTCTCAATGCGGGGAGGGCTATCACCCACCGTGATCCTTCATGGGGTATGTTATTGTTCATCCAAGCGCACAAAGTTTTGTGTTTTTTTTTTCTGTCTCCCAATTCATTAAAAAAATAAAAATAAAAATTGACAAGTTTCTTTATATATATTTTTTGAATATTTTTCAGTGTTAAAAGAATAAAAAGAAGAAAAAGAAAAAGAGAGTAGCGAGATTACATGGCTATACCTATACACGGAGGAGTTTAAACTTGAGACGACACAGATTGGCACATGGAGAGTGTAGTGAACCTGCAGCATAGCCATTGCAACATAGCACTGACATGGAAAATCAATCACGGTACCAGCAGCTTCTTCTTCTTCCCCAAAACCCTAACCACAAAACCCTCCTGCAAAGCCGGACCATTCGCTTCCTCTCTTCGCTCTGCCCAACGCCTTCCATCACCATTACGACCAGATGTAGCCCCAGATAGCAGTTCCACAAAGCACACCACCCTCCTTGTTGAGACCTTCCATGAGCACCAGAGGCTCAAAGCCTTACTTCAGAAGCTCATCAATGGCTCTTGCCCTCTGCAATTGCTTGGAGAAGATGGTGATTGGACCAAAGACCAATTTTGGGCTGCCATCAGATTCCTTAAACATACTTCCAGATTCAATGAAATTCTTCAGGTGCTTTTCTGTTTTTTTCCCTCTCTCTTTATTTCTTGCTTTATTAAATTCCAATAACTCTAGGATTTGGGTATTGGGTTCTGGGTTTTGAATTTTTAGGGGTTACCAATGATATTTTTAATTTTAGTTTATTTTTTGTCATAGTTTTTTTTATAGAGAATTTATTTTTGGTCATATAATGTGAATTTCTTTAATAAGCTGGGATTTTGGTTGCCAAGAAAGCCAGAAAAGTAATGCAAAAAAAAAAAAAAAGGTTCCTATGATTTCTGTTCTGTAGTGTTCCAGAAATGGTGAAAAGGTTTGCTCAGTTAAGCTCAGTTAAATGGATTTTTTCTTCTTCATAGAAATGGGGATTTAACAAAAAGCGCACTGTGTATTCATATGTTTGATTTGCGTTCTTTTCTTTCGTTGTTTCTCTTTTATTTTCCTGAGCATCTAAACAGAGCATCATGAGAAGTAGTTGTCTAATGTTCTTATTGAAATTGCTACTCTGGGAACTCTGAACAGTTGTTTGATATGTGGAAGAACATCGAGAAATCACGGATTAATGAGTTTAACTACAGCAAGATAATAGGTTTGCTAGGTGAAGAGGGCCTGATAGAAGAGGCAGTACGATGCTTTCAAGAGATGAAGAGTCACAATCTTAGGCCGTCCTTGGAGGTTTACAATTCAATAATTCATGGTTGTGCCAGACAAGGAAACTTTGACGATGCTTTGTTTTTCCTTAACGAGATGAAAGAAATGAATTTGGCACCAGAAACTGATACCTATGATGGACTTATTGAAGCATATGGGAAGTATAGAATGTATGATGAGATAGGCATGTGTGTGAAGAAAATGAAATTAAATGGCTGTTCACCTGACCACGTTACCTATAATTTGCTTATTCGAGAGTTTGCACGGGGTGGTTTGCTCAAAAGAATGGAAAGTGTGTATCAATCCATGCTTTCAAGAAGAATGGCTTTGCAGTCTTCTACTTTGATTGCAATGGTCGAGGTTTATGCAAAATTTGGTATTTTGGAGAAGATGGAAAATGTTTATAGGAGAGTTTTGAACTCCGGAACTGTGGTAAAGAATGACTTAATTAGGAAACTAGCTGAGGTTTATATTGATAATTATATGTTTTCCAGATTGGAGAAATTGGGAGTTGATCTTTCTTCAAGATTTGGTAAGACTGATCTTGTTTGGTGTCTGCGTCTCCTTTCCCAAGCAGGTGTTCTTAGTCGAAGAGGTATGGATTCCATTGTTGATGAGATGAAAGAACAAAATGTCCCATGGAATGAAACGGTTGCAAACATTATAATGCTGGCTTATTTGAAGATGAAAGATTTCACACACTTGAGAATCTTCCTCTCCCAATTACTAACCCAGGGTGTGGAGCCTGATATTATCACTGTTGGAATTGTATTTGATGCGAATAGAATTGGCTATGATGGGTCTAGAACTTTAGATACATGGAGGGAGAACGGCTTTCTCCGCAAAGCTGTGGAAATGAATACTGATCCTTTAGTTCTCACTACATTTGGGAAGGGGCATTTCCTTAGAAACTGTGAAGCAGCATACTCCTCCCTGGATCCTGAAGCTAGAGAAAACAAAACATGGACGTACCATCACCTCATTGATTTAGTGTTCAAACACACTGAATGTAGCCTCAGTATGAAGGACTGAAGATAAAATGTAGCTTATCACAGAAACTTTGTTTTTATTTTTCGGTCTGAAAAGATTAAAAGGAGTATACTTTGTTCATGTACCGGTTACGGATGCACTTTTGTACAGAACTATTTGACAGAACCTCTTATGAAGGTCTTGGATCATCTTCATATATCTTTTTCCTGGCTACTCAGATCATATGGAGGAGAATTTTCTGCCTTTGTAACTACGAATTTCATTTTGTCTAGTCTATTTGGACCACTGATTTTAATAGTGCCTTGTGGCAACCATAGTAGACACAATGCAGGTCGGGTCTACTAGAGGCTACTAGTGCAGCTGGAAACATTTATTTCTGGAACTTCTGTATTAACCCGGCGACGCACCTTCTGTATGGGTAGCAGACCTACATTTGTTAATTTTACAGGAGCTGTAGTAAAACTTATACTATGTACTATAACAAATTGCAATATATCTATACTGCAATTAAATTTAGTTTCTATCATCTAATTTCTTCCGTTTTTATTTTTTTTGGCTAATTTAAAGACATTATTTCTCAATCAGTGGCTAAAATATTAACAAACCAAGGAACCATCAATCAATAGCTAAGTAATGAACACACCAAAGATCCAGACAACCAAATTGATTTTTTCCATGCTAGTTATCTACTTCCTCTCTTATGGAAGAGTTGGGATGCTTTGCTCATTCCTAAAGAAGTTACCAGGATCGACCTCGGTCTTAATACGCACCAATCGGTCGAAATTATCCTTGAAGTACCGAATGCCATAAGCTCTTCCCTCAAAATAGCTTGCCTTGCCATTGTTGTTGATCCCCAGATCAAGATCTTTATAGTTGAAATAGGCTTCCCTTGGATTCATGGAAACAAAAGGAGTCATGTAGAAGTAAAGCTTTCTTGTCAAATTTAGATGGTAATCTGAGGCCTCAGCCCCTGATACTTCCCAATTTGTTGCATACTGAATCTTCCAAAGATTCCCAGCTCTATGTGGACAAGGAGTAGCGGATTCTGGAATCTCACTCATTTTTCCACCGTAGGGGTTAAAGCTCATGATCGGTACCTCAAATTCGATCATTTTCTGCCAAATCCACATCAAACCAATTTTTGGAATTGGGGTTTTGACATAGTCTGATTTCCTCTTCAGGTGGACAAGTACCTGAGGCTTTCTAGAAAGTAAAGCTTCAGGCTCTGTTCCAATGGAGAAGTTTGTCCAGAAAAGCACAGATTCAACCCAGCTCATTTCAATGCAATCTGATTGCTTCAAACCCAATTCAGGGAAGCCAGTTTCCATAACAGAGAGAAGTCTTTCAGAGTTTCCAAGAAAGAATCCAATGAATGAAGCTCTTATAGTCTTATAGTTTTCTCCACCAGTACTTAATGGACCGCCAGTAATATTTACAACTTCCATGGTAAGCCTGATGAACAAGTCAGTATCCAGCTTAGGTGCAACATATTGCCAACGGTACACAATGTCTGTTGCATTCTGTTCCAAGGTCCTTTCGACCCTGAAAACAGTAACTGTTTGTGGAACACGTACAAGATTGATTTTGTATGCGATGACAACTCCAAAGCTGGCTCCGCCGCCTCCTGTGATGGCCCAAAACAGATCTTCTCCCATTGATTTTCGGTCGAGAAGTCTCCCGTGCACATCCATCAGTTGCGCATCAATTATATTGTCCACGGATAGGCCGTACTTCCTCATCAAATTGCCATATCCAGCTCCACTAAAGTGGCCACCAACACCAACTGTAGGACAAACACCGGCAGGAAAGCCATGGATTTTGCTTTTCTCATAAATTCTGTAGAAAAGTTCACCAAGAGTTGCCCCAGCCTGGACCCATGCAGTCTCGGAACTTATGTCTATGTTGATGGATCGAAGATTAAACATGTCGAGGAGGAAGAACGGAACTTCGGACACATAAGATACACCCTCATAATCATGGCCTCCGCTTCTAATTTTCATCAGCAAGTTTTGCTTTTGAGCACAAACAATGGCTTGCTGCACATGAGATTCATGCAGAGGAGTGATAATAAGGAAAGGTTTTGGGGTTGAACATGTGTTGAATCTAAGGTTTCGGATGTACGATCGCAAAACAGATGAGTATGAAGAAGCATTGTTGGGAGTGTAAATTGCTTCAGAGATGGGGTGAGAAGGCTGGGAATGGCTTAGAAGGCATTGAACAAAGTCTTGTTCTGGAGCTGAATCTGAACCTGCCCAAGAAACATTGAATGATAATAATAATAATAATAAAAGAATTAACTGAAACATTAAGAGCCGTGGAAGGCTTAGAATTCCCATTTTGTAGCACTGATGCAAGTAGCAAGAGCTGTGGAATTTCCAACTTTTCTCCAGACATGATGGCATATAATTAAGACTGCATTATGTATGCATAAGATTCCCTGTATGATTTTGCAGAGTTTTTCACCTTTCTAAAAGTAAACTGTGTGATGGCCCATATGGTACCAGACAACCAGTAAACTGTATACCCTAAATGGTTTAGTGCAAATCTTCTGTGCATATATAAGATTCCCTCTATAATAAAATTTCTGTAAAACTACCTGAATTTTGCTAGCATCAGTCGTCCAAAACAGCGCAGTACATGTATTTACTGTATAATAACAGAAAAGAATGATCCAGTTATTTTCTTTTGAAAGGTCGTCGGAGGTTAACTTTATAATGAATATGCGGAGGAGACAAGTCATGCTCAGATATTTTATTGTGAAAGGTAAGTTCAGACATTGCCCCCCCACCACACACTAATAATTGTTTCATATCCATTTGACATGTTGTTCACATCAGGCAATTTAGCAATTATTATTGTTGAGTCGGCATCCTACTATTATTAGTTTATTATGATCCACACACAAGAAACAATTGTCTGTTGTACCTGTATTCCTACCTAACAAAAAGCATAGTGGTCAACAAAAAGGGTCTAATTTAGTGGAAAAAAGCATAGTGGTCAACAAAAACTTCATTAGATAAACTTTAATAATATAATTAAAGACATCAACACATAACACCTAATGTGTGTGGCCAAAGTGATCAAAAAGCTCACATCTTGTAGCCAAAGTGGCATCTCTCCCTCTCTAGTAAGGCAATCTCCAACCTGAGAGGACTCAAACCCAAATTTTCCCCCATCAAAATATAATTATTCATGTATTGCCCGGATTCAAATAGATTTTCCCCTAACCTTGCAGATCCAAAATTTGAATTCGCAATTTATTAAATTGTTTAAATATTTCTGTAGCAAAGACACAACAGTCATGAACTATTGTTATGAAGAGCTCCAAGAAAGGACAACCCTTCAAAATGAGAAAGAGTTTTGAATTTCGATATTGCCTTCACTGCCAACTTTATACCAAGCACAATCTACAGAAATTTCCTAAGACCAATTTGTGACAAAGCTTATGTAAGAGCTGAGATTAATTGGTATATTCCATTGATAATTTACAAGTACAAGGCGTATGATTATATATAGATGCATACAATCCTAATAAGGTAAATACAATCATAATTGAATGACTAAATCAATCCTGATCAAATAGAACGGGAAAGACAGCTTAGCACAAGTCATGGTTGACTTTCATATGAAGAAGCATATGCTTGTGGAATGATTTGCGTTGTTGATGAAGTAATCTCCTTTGATGTAGGAGATTCCTTGATACGCCCCCGCAGGATGGTGGCACCATTGGAGACACCGATCTTGGAACGAAGAAGATGGAAATGTGAGCACGACAAGGGTTTGGTGAGAGCATCAGCAAGCTGATCAACAATGGAGACATGAGACACTTGAAGAAGGCCACAAGTAACACAATCCCATACAAACTGAAAATCAATATCAATATGTTTCATATGTGAATGAAGGACATGATTAACACAATAGAACATGGCTCCAATATTATCACAGGTAGGGGTGTTTTCGGTGCGGTAACCGCACCGAAACAAAGAAACCGTTTACCGGCCGGCTACCTGCGGTTTAGCCAAAATCCAAACCAACGCGGCACCACACAAAGACGGTTATCAGAGGTGCTGGTTACCGTGGGTGATTGCGGTATCGGTCGGTTACCAAACCTGGAAGAACAAACCTGCAAAAAACAAGAGGGAGATAGAGAGAGAAATAACCTTCATTCATCACAACCACAGAGAAGGAGGGAGAGAGAAATTTAAAAAATAAAAACAGATTTAGTTTATCACCTAAGAACCAGAGAGGAGTTAGAGAAACGCGTGGGGAGAGAGAGATGAGTTAGAGAGGGGAAGAAGAAGATAAGGAAGAAGGCTTTTGGTTTTTGGTTTCCTTGGGCAGTGAAAGGAAACCTCGGGAACGCCTTGGGCATTAATTAACACCCATTTAAAATATTAAAAAATCTATTGACAGTCAAAAGTTGTTAATATTTAGAATTTAAAATAAATTACATCACTCCATTTGTCCATATGTCCATTTCCCCATTATAATATTAAAATATACTCATTTGTCCATTTCCCCATTAGAATATTAAAATATAGTATAAAATATCAAGAAATGGAGAAGTAAACGCAATGGCAGATAGAAATATATCTCTACTTTTTCTTTCCTTCTATCTCTGTTTCTCATTTTCTTTTTGCTCTATCAAGAAAGGGAGAAGAAAACGCAACGGCAGATAGAAATATATCTCTACTTTTTCTTTCCTTCTATCTTTGTTTCTCATTTTCTTTTTGCTCTGCGTTTCTCTCTTTTCTTTCTTTTTTTTCTTCTTCTTCCTCATTTGTTCCTTCTTCTTCCATCACCAAAGCTACACCCTCTCTCTGTTCCATTTTTTTGCCTGGCTTGGTGGGGTTTTTGTACTCTTTGTTTCTCAGATTCAAAGGGAAGACGAGGAGAGGAGGAAATTCAGAAATGACTAGGGTTTGAATTCGAAGGGAATGAAATGAAATGAGGGAGAGTTGATCTCAACCTCTAGCTTCTTCGGTAGGTATACAAATATATATATATATATATCGGTCGGTTGCGGTTGACGACGGCTTTGGTATCCTGCAACCGCAGCCATATCCGCAGTATTTAGGCTTGGTTGTCCAACCGCAACCGGTCATTGACCAAAAAAGTCAACGATTTGCCGATCGAAAATATCGGTCGGAAACTGCCGATTTCCGGTATTTGCGGTCCAACCGCACAGCTCTAATCACAGGAGACAACTGGTGTTGTGGGAAGAGGGATACCAATTTCACGCAATAAAGACTGAATCCATGTGAAAGATGAACTCCAAAAGAGATGGTACCCTTTAAGTAGCGAAGAAGATGCTTGAGTGCCTGCCAATGAGTCTCAAAAGGAGAATGTATGAACTGAGAGAGCTTGTTGACGGCGAAGGAGATGTCAGGCCTTGTAAGACTGAGGTATTGGAGACCACAAATAAGACAACGGCAGTGAGTTGCATCAATTGGGGAGGAGCCATCATGGAGCATAAGTGGTCCAGTGGTAGAGAGAGGCGTATTGACAACCTTTGCACCATCCATCCTTGCATTGACCAAGAGATCATGAATGTATTTATGCTGAGATAGGAACAAACTAGTGGCTATGGGAAGAACCTCAACACCAAGAAAGTAATGTAATGAGCCCAAGTTCATGATAGAAAACATAGTGGCCAAGATTTGAATGAACTTTGCCACAAGTGAGGAATTGTTTCCTATAATAATAAGATCATCAACACAAACCAAAAAATAAATTATATCATTCCCATTTTTGCAGAGAAAGAGGGAGGCATCTCATATGGCATAAACAAAGCCATGAGAGATAAAAAATGAGTGTAATTCATTGTACCACACTCGCGGAGCCTGCTTAAGGCCATAAAGGGTTTTCCTCAATTTACACACATGAGAGAGATAATTAGAGTCAACAAACTCAGCGGATGTGTCGTATAAACATCTTCACGGATTAAGCCATGAAGAAAAGCATTGTTAACGTCCAATTGGCGAATTGGCCAACCATGAGTCACGGTAAGATGCCAAACAATTCTTATGGTAGTAGGTTTGACCACCAGACTGAAAGTATCAGAAAAATTAATACCAAGACATTGGTGAAAACCCTTGGCAACTAAGCATGCTTTGTCCTTGTCAATAGTGCCATCAGGGTGTCGTTTGATACGAAACAACTATTTACAACCAATAAGATTTTGAGAAGGAAGAGAAGGAATGAGCTCCCATGTACCATTGTGAATTAACACATTAAACTCATCAGCCATTGCTTGTCACCAAAAAGGATCCTTGACGGTCTAGGAAACACATGTCGGTTCAATTGAGTAGGGAATGAGGTGTTTAGTAGCAATCATAGCATAGTGAAGATCGGGTTTGTGGATAATTTCTTTGGCATGTGTGGCTATGGAATGATCGGGGAGCATAGGAGGTACAGGTGGATTGCGAGGTTACGGGTCAGAGGAAGGAAAAGTGACAACAGTCCTATAAGGTTTCTAGTGTATGTACGGATTGGGCTTTGTTGGGGAGGGTGCTAGGCCGAGTCAGTTCGGGCTTGAGAATTTGTGAATGAGATGGATGCGATAAAGCTAAGCGCGGTGGAGTTAGGGGCACAAACATGGGGGTTAGGTGGCGGTAAGAGAGGAGCAGTAGCGGCAATTGTGGCCTGGGTAAGTGAGGGTGATGGCTCCAAGATAGGGGCAGATGCAGAGGATGATGATGTGACTGGTGGTGGCAGCGAAGAGGAAACAACTGGTGCGACATACATGGTGGGTAAGTGGAAGGGGACATGGGTAATTGGAGGAAGAGAGGAGACCCAAGTGTGAGAATTATCAACAGTGACATGGGGAATGGAGGAAGGGAGGTTGGCAAGAGGAAAAGTAGACTCATCGAATTGAACATGCCTAGAGATAAAAAGTTTGTTAGAGGAATAGATCGAAGTTCTACACCATCTCTTTTGGAATATTTCCTCAATCAAATCTACCATTGTATTGGTGGGCTCGACCATTATTAGAGAGATAGTACACAATGTGGTATATAAATGTGGTAAGCCGCATTATCCTTCGTGCATACATCACAATTATCAATATAATATGGCTCTCATTCGTAAGTAAGTCTGAAAAATACCATTGTTTTCCATATCAACTAACAATTAACCAACCCTAGACTCTAGGGATCTTCCGCATGCGATCCTTCTTTAACTAATTAATACATTAAAGTACGTAGAAGTAGAATAATGAATTTGATTTGCATGAAAACGAGCTTTATTAATAGGATTCTGGGAATGTTTAAATTCCTCAGAATGATCAAATGAAAAGTACTAGTACATTATAGTCAAGGTAAAACTAACCTTCATCCCACAATGTAATTCAGCTAAGTACAAACAAATGACAACGCTTAATTAGAAAGATTTTATTCGGGGTAAAGCGATCTCATCTCTAATAGAAGTACGATCTGTTTAAATGTGGAGATGCGGTCTCCTTATATGTGGTCGTGGATGTTATAGACGGTCTGCCAAAGGGTGAGACCAAGCAGGATAATGGCTAAAATGAGGGAAATAATTTTCCATGGGCTAGAAAACTTGCCACGCTTCATCAATTCCCACCATACGTTCCATTCTTCGTCATAATATTTGTCTACTTTATCACAAAGTTCACCATAGTAAAAGGTCTCGAGCCAAGTGCCATTGTAAAGATTGTTGAAGAACTTGGTACCATCTTCAGCGTTGAGCAAGTTAGCTATCACCCCAGCATTACACAGAACCCTCATGTCCTTGCTCGAGACGATGAGTGTATCCATTAAGACGACATAAGATGTGATTTCATTCCAACGAGCATGGTAGCATTGCTCAAGGGCAATGAGGTTCCTGAACAATGATTCAGTCAATTCTCCAGTTGCTAGTTGGGAATTATTGACCACCTTTAGCATGGTACCGGCCGATTAAGACGACGTCAGGTGTATATATCGCTTCCTTTTGTCTTCGAAGCACCTGGGGAACTTTGAAGATATGCTGCTGCTGCTGTCACCATGATCATCTATTATTCCAACACAAGTATGATTTCTACTACTTTCTCCGGCATTTCCCGCCATGATTAAGTTACGCTTCCAATCGAACAAATTGTGTACAAAGGCTGACGCAAGTTGGAACTAATGGCTTCAAATTAATAATCATAGTAATTATAAAACAAGTTGCAATGACTCTAGATAGATAAACTTTAATATTCTACGTACGTACATATTGGTACTTCAAAAAATTTACCTAATAGCCAAGGTACTTGTAAAAGGCACATTTACTATTTATAATAGGTAAGTTATCTGCATAGGTACATATGCGCACGTATTATATAGTATGTACATTCATATTAGGTACAATACAATACTCAATACTCATAAATATAATAGGTAGAATATCTTTTTATCTACATCATATTGGCTATGACTTAAAATTTAAAAATGACAAACATAAGTGCAAATACGTAAACCCTTATAGTAAATATATATATACAGATAATGAAATCAACAAATCTGAGATGAAGAAGCTAGACAAAGTCCTAAACATCTATGAAATCTAAACATAATTATCTTGATGGAGAACAAGAGGAAGCCAAATGAACAACAAAGGAAAACTCAATTTTGCAATTAAAAAAAAGCCCACACTTGAAATTTTATTTATTTATATAAACGATAATGGGGAAGGGGAATCGAACTAAGGATCTAAAGTGCAAAGATAAATACTCTTAGAGCCAGTTTGGGATTACTGTCACTTTTTAAAAAAGCCTTTTTTTGTCGTACTTCAAAAAAATTAGCTGTAAAGTAAAGCAGCAATGCATTTGGTAAACAATATTTTTAAAGTGTTGTTAGTATAAAAAAACAATGTTAAACCGTTTGATAAACTTTTATATAAAATTGTTGTATTAGTGGATAATTACCAAAATGGATATAATGTTGAAAGTGTTATGTGCTAATCATGTGGTGGTAGTGATGGTGGAGGTGGAGGTGGAGATGGAGGTAGTGATGGGTGGTGGTTGTGGCAGTGGCGATGGTAGTGGTGGCGGTGATGGTGGTGGCAGGTGATGGCGGTGGTGGAGGTGGTGGTGATGAAGGTGGAGGTGAGATGGTGGTGATGATGGAGGTGAAGTTGGAGGTGGTGGAGGTGAAGGTGGAGGTGGTGGTGGTAGAGGTGGAGGTGGAGGTGATGGTGGAAGTGATGGAGGTGATGGAGGTGGTGGTGGTGACGGCGGCGATGGAGGTGGAGGTAACGGTGGTGGTGGTAGACGATGTCATTTTAAAAAATTAATGATGGTATTATGGGAATTAATTTTTTTATTATTATTAAAGGCTATTCTCTGCTTCTTGTGAGAGCAACTTTCAAAAGCAACCTAGAGGTTGCTTTTAAAAGCTGTTATCAAGAGGCCATTGCTTTTAAAATAATCAACATATTTTATTTTTACCAAACACCTTAAACTGCTTAACTTTAAAGTGAAGCTGATTTTTAGGGGACAAAAGCAATCCCAAACGGGGCCATAATGCAAGGAGTACATCCAACTATTGAAATAACTTTTGGATTTATATTATCTTTTTTTTTAAAATTCCATGCTTGAAGTTTTATTTATTTATACAAACAATAGTGGGGGGAAGAGGGTATCGAACCTAGCATTTGAAGTGCAAAGATAAATACTCTTAGGGCCAGTTTGAGATTCCTGTCACATTTAAAAAAAGCTATTTTTGTCGTGCTTCGAAAATAATTAGCTGTAAAGTAAAGCAACTCTACATTTGGTAAACAATATTTCAAAAATGTTGTTAATATAAAAAAAAATATATGTTAAAACTTTTGGTAAATTTTTATATAAATTGTAGTAACTGTGAATAATTATCAAAATCGAAATAAAGTTGAAAGTGTTATATCCTAATCATGTGGTGGTGACGGAGGTGCAATTGGAGGTGGTGGTGGATGGTTGTGGTGGCGGTGGCAGTGGCAGTGGTGGTGATACTACAAAATTTATAATGTTTTATACAAGTATTTTCTACAAAATTTTTAGTAAGACATACAAAATTCACGTATTATACAAAGAATTCTCACATAATATTGAATTAGAATAACATATGTTATAAAAATTATATTAAAATATCATATAGTGGAAGATTAATATCTACTTTGGATATGTTGCAAATTAATATATGTAAGGTACAAACTAATGCAACTAGGAGGGTCCTTTTTTATTATTAATTTTTTATTAAATAGTTTAGCCAGCCAGCTGTACTTATATTTGACACGTGGCTTTAATCGATAAAGGTTCTTCTTATAAATAAAAAAAAGGAAAAGGAAAAAAAAAAAAAAAAAAAAGCCGCGCGCGCTATACTCGATGTTTTTTATTTTTTTAAAGATGTGTGTTGACACGTGGCGCCTAATGGTGGGGGTCCTCTTTTTTTATATTAAAAAATAGATTATGCTGTTTTTTTTAATAGAAAATAGTATAGCCGTACCGCTATACTGGATTTTTTTTCTAATTTTTTTTAAAAAATAGTATAGCTGGGCGACGTTACTGGTTTTTTTCTTTTTTTAAATTGTCTTTAATAAATAGTATAGACGAGCGGCTGTAGTCTTTTATATATGTATGCATATATATATATATATATATATATGTAGGTACGTATTTTTCAACAATACATTCGTGTTCTATACACGTCTCACGTTTTCTTTAAAAACAAACATACAATAATCGAATTGTACATGTACGCATGTATTTCTAATGTTTTATACACGTATTTTCTACAAAATTTTCAGTAAGACACACAAAATTCACGTATTGTACAAATAATTCTCACATATTATTGAATAAGAATAACATATTATATTAAAGTATCATTTAGTGGAAGATTACTATCTACTTTGGATATGTTGCAAATTAATATCTATAAGGTACAAACTAATGCAACTAGGAGGGTCTTTTTATTATTAAATTTTTTTTATTAAATAATATCGCCATGCGGCTATACTACGATTTTTTAATATAAAAACAAGTATTGTCGGCCGGCTATACTTACTTTGAACACATGGCTTTAATCAATAGAGGTTCTTCTTTATTTATAAAAAAAAAGGTTGGAGGGGGGGGGTGGACAGGGGCCACGCGGCTATACTCCACGTTATTTATTTATTTTTTTAAAACACGTGTTGACACGTGGCGCTTTTTTTATATTAAAAAATAGGACAGCCATTCAGCAATACTCAGTTTTTAAAAAAAACAGTATAATTTAAAAAAAAAAAAAAAAAAAAAAAAAAAAAAAACGCCGCCCGGGTATATTATTTAAAAAAAAAATTAGAAAAAAATGGGGTCTAGATTTTCTAAGGAAAAACAGAGCAGCCCACTGTGTGAAAACAGTATAGCCGAACGGCGTTATAGTCTTTTATATATGCATGCATATATATATTTATATATATATGTGTGTATTTTTCAATAATACATTTGTGTTTTATACACGTCTCACGTTTTCTTTAAAAAGCAAACATACAATAGTCGTATTGTATATGTATGTACGTATTTATAATGTTTTAAACACATATTTTCTACAAAATTTTCAGTAAGACACACAAAATTCACGTATTATACAAATAAGAATAACATATTATTAAATAAGAATAACATCTGTTACAAAAATTATATTAAAATATCATATAGTGGAAGATTAATATCTACTTTGGATACGTTGCAAATTAATATCTATAAGGTACAAACTAATGCAATTAGGAGGGTCCTTTATTATTGTTATTATTATTATTATTTATTAAATAGTATTGCCGTGCGGTTATACTACAATTTTTAATTAAAAAAATAGTTTAGCCGGCAGGCTGTACTTATATTTGACACGTGGCTTTAATCGATAGAGGTTCTTCTTTATAAAGAAAAGGAAAAAAAAAAGAACAGCCGCGCAGCTATACTACTCCATGTTTTGTTTTTTTTTTTAAAAGACATGTGTTGACACGTGGCGCCTAATGGTTGGGGGTTCTCTTTTTTTATATTAAAAATAGTTGAGCTGTACGGCTATACTCAGTTTTTAATTTTTTTTAAGAAATATTAGAAAATAGTATAGCCGTGCAGCGATACTCGATTTTTTTTCTAATTTTTTTGAAAATATGGTCTATAATAATAAATAGTATAGACGAGCGGCAATAGTCTTTTACATATGTATGCATATATATATATATAAATATGGATGTAAATTCACCGGTTCACTCACTCTTGCACACCTTTTAAGAAACTTTTTTGAACCATTAGATTAACATCCAACGGTGGGTGACCACAAATCTCTTGGATTCCTGTGGTCCAAGAGATCGGAGCTATATATATATATATATATATGTATATATATATATGTATATATATATATAAGTGGACTTCATAACATAGGGAGAATTTGATAACAAAAATAAAGCAAATAAAGAGCTTTGAACTTCTTGTCTAGTTAACTCAAGCTTTTCCTTTCTAGTTTAGTTTTAGATTACACACTCTTTTAGACTTCCAGAGCATGTTTACTAATCAAGAATCAGAATGAGACATTCCAATTAAACTGGTTACTAATTGTTGGAAATCAAAATGAAAATAAAATTTATTCCCATCAAAATCATAATGATTGTCAAAAATCGAAATGAAAATAAAACGGATACTCATTATAACCGTTTACTATTGTAAAAAAATTGAAATCAAAACCAATTTGATTACCAAAATATATACCATTGCACAAAACAAATTCTATTTTGTTTGGTGCAACTGCTTACACAATTTTTCAACTCACAAATTAAACCGATGGGAATGGGATTAGTTTGTTCGGCCGGTTTGAACAGTACTTAGGTCCTGTAGTGTGATAAATAAAACCCGAAATTCTCTGGCGCCAAAATTCAAACACTTTCGCATCACACACTTCGCAAAATGTAGTTGGAGGACTCGCAGTCACAGCACCTCCAACGCTACCAAGCATCAGAAGATGACTACGCTTCAAATTCAGCAAGCGGCTCCATCTGCTTGCTCTGCTTCTTTTCAACCCTCAATCTCCCACCGTCCACGTGTCCTACGCTCTCTCTGCCATCTCCGACCCTCTTCTTCGTCTCGCCTCTCGTTCAAGGTCTCTCTTCCTTCCACGACGACCTCATCGCACGACAAGTCGTTGATCTCATTTCTGCTCTCTGCGCTTCGGCTGATGCTTAGCTCTGAGCTGACCTCGTCGCTAGGGTTTCCGATCGCCTCTCATCCGATCCGTTGGCCTTGAATCGCCGTCAAATTATATGGTATTTCCATCCTCCGCATTTATCAATTCTCTACTTGTTTATTTGTGAATTTCGGAATCGATTTTGAGATTTAGATTAAAATTTGCGGTAATGATTTGTTTTTTCTGTTTGCTTCTTGAGAAAATGTAGGAAATTGTTGTGATTTTTTATGTTTTTAGGTAATCAAACAGTGCATGATTGGTTAAGGGTGGACGAATTTGGTGAAATCGAACTTGATTCTACTGTTTCTCAAATTGAACCTGTGTTCGTTTTTATTTTATTATTATTTATTTTTTGGTGAAATTATAAACCAATTTTGAGATTTTAGATAAATACTTTTGGTAATGCTTTATTTCCTATTTGATTCTTGAGAAAATGAAGGAAAACTGTGAAATTAATTTTGTATTTTTCTTTTTTTTTGGTCTGTATTTTTCAGTAATCAAACAATGTATGATTTCAGTATAATCGCACTTGATTATGGCTCGTTAATTAATTGTGGTACAACTACAGTATAATTGAAGGATTGTTAATTAAAACATGAAATTCTCTTATCCTTGTATTTTACTGTTTCTCACTGACAAGAATTTGAAAGTCAAATTTTGGTATACCTGAAATTCTCTTATTCTTGTATTTTGGTTACATTTTTTGCCCTTGCATATCAAATTTTCTCATCATCATGGAATGATTAAAAAGGGAAAAGGAGAGGAGGGAAATTTGTGAATCAGCATGACCTTGTTTATCTGCAAATTTTATGGCTAGGATTTAGAGTATACAGTGAAGTCTCAATAGATTAATATGCATATATGATCTATGCACCCCCCGACTTGTAATAACGAAAATCTTTCCAACAATATATTTAAAACTTACATCTTATTGATCTTAAAACATATATATCCCTGATAATAATTTTATCACTGTTTCATACCAGTGATGCTTGCGTGGTATTGGTAATGCTTTCCACAATCTTTATTGTATATCAACATATACACAGTCCCCACAGATATCACAGCCGTCTTAGTTTTAATTTTTAAACTTTATGCTCAGTGCACCATGGAACTCTTGCCCATGATGACTCTTGGCTTGCAGCGACTATGACGGTGATTAACTTAATTTTGCTGATTCCAGCTTTGCCTGCTGCCACAGGAATTTAATCAGAAAGGCTGTCTTCTTTTGTAGTTAATAATTATCACTACGAGCTGCAGACAGGTAGTATCATGAATGTCTCTTAGTAATTGGCACTTTTTTTTCCCTTAAGTTTTAACCATTCTGCGGATCAAGTGCTCATAGTAGCTTTAAAACCATTATTTTCAGGTTTTATAAGGTGTGGAGAAGTCTTAATATTGGTGCTTCTTATAAATTACTGCTCATTAAGAAGGTTAGTTCATCCTATTAAATTCAACCAACCATATACAATTGAATTTTTCTTTTGAATCTACTGCCACATAGGATTATTTCCTTTATTTGAATCTACTGCCACAAACTATGCAGACTAATGCATTTTGGATCTCCTTCTTTGGTTGCTTCATCATACCTGTTGGAGTTGTTTACCAGAATATCTAATCAGAGTTATAGAACTAGGGAGGAATTGATATGCACCATGGATTATTACGTAATGTCTGTAGTGGCTGACCTAGAAGGCCTAATTCTCTACAGTGCCTCATAGTGGCTATGAATTGTGGCCTCTGCCTATCAATGATCTTGGGGTGGGAATTTCCAATGCAAGGGACAAATGTGAGTTCAAAGAATTATTGGAGTTGGATGATTGTGGAAAACCTTGTAAGTGTCTCTAGCAGTCCTATGCTTAGCATCAAAATCTTTCAATAATCTTCACAAGCCTACAAATCATGTAACAGTCACATTGTTAAAACTGCATAAGGTTCCTGAGTGGATGAGATCTGTATTTCATGATTCTTGCACCAAATTATTTGAGCACCCAAATTCTACTTTTATTTTGAGCTCTATTGAATTCTTAAAGACCTAACAAATTGCTAGTGTAAATCAGTTGCTCCATGTGACCATTTCTATGTCTTGCATTTTGTGTTCCCTTGGTTTTTGTTCTTGTCTAGTGGCCACGTTAAGGGATTAAATTGAAGCTTTCCTTGCTTTTCTTTTTTTGTTAAACTCCAAACGTAGCAATGAGTCAGTGTACTTTTGTCCAGTTGGTTTTAGAATGAAAACTGGCTGAAGGTTACCATAAATTTCCACCCTTTGTCATTCCGGTCATGCTTGAGGATTTAGAAGTCGAATAGCAAGGAAGTGCGATTAACAGAGAGATAATGCAGCTATTTTATACACTGCAGGTGTGCATAAAGCAAAAGTACACTGCCAACAGTCAAGATGAAAGTGCAGAAGGAAGGTGGTGGTCACTATCTTGTACAATTCGGGAGAAGTTTGTGAGTATTTCATTCATGATGTCATCTGAGTCATCTCTATATACTAGACAGGGATTCTGGAGGATTAGATTTTCGGGATAAGAGATTGTTAAAAGAAATAGAGCTTTTCTTTAATACTTTTACAGTAACAGATGGCAGCTAAGAAAATCATATTAGTGGCTCACTGAGTGAAAGCACCTGCAGTTATTGCCTTCGTGATCATTGATTGCATGAATAGCTGAAAACTGAAATGCATTGGAAAGGGCTCACTTTTTTTATAATCTTTGATTCTTGTCAAGAAGCACCTTTAACGGTTGTCGTGTTAGACACTGTAACCTTGGTTCCCATCTAACCTAGATTGTTAGAGCTTGGAAGTTAAGAGACAAAATATTCTTTCATTGCTATAATTTGAAAATATACAGACACAGTGGAAATGTCTACAAGACAGTAGACTTACTCATTAGCACTTTGTACATGCTGCAGCCTCTTCCTATATGTCAAAATCCTAATCACATGTAGCTATCTATCTATCTATCCATATACTCTTAGCTTAACAGTCTCCAATATCTCCACATGCTAGCAATTGGCGCCAGAAATTAACATCTCAAAGTCCCTCATCGTTTTGAAGTTATCATCAATGACAACATTTCTCTCCATCTCTTCGAGGGCAAGCCGAGCAGCTTCTCTATCTCGTTGCCGTTGCTCCTTGATGTAATCATTGGCTTTCATCATCTCGGCAGCCCTAAACTTCTTGATCTCATCTTCGGTGTTTTCAAGACCATTAGAGCCACTGTAAAGAACCTCTTGTTTGGCTTTGAAGATGGTACCTGCAAACCGTGCCTTCAGCATTGCAACCCGAGCAGCCCTTCGTGGTGACAGATTAATCTCATCGGATGGTGTGGTTGCGTTTGAAAGAACGGAATCGGAATCGGAATCGTAAGCGGAGGAACGTGGACGTTTGAAAGAACGGGCGGAATTGGGTTTTGCACAGACCTTGTGGTTGCGATTGTTCAAAGAATTCAGATTAAGCTTCAACTCTTCAAGCCTCATTGTCACCAAACCAATTAAATCAACACTGAAACTACAAACGAAGAAAGAAAAATTGAACAAGTAAGTTGCGTGGTTTTCAGTTTCTGCCAAGTGGGTTTTGGCCAAGAGCGAAGCGTGTGATTGAGAATCAGAATGGGAATGTGAGTGAGAGAGAAAGAAAGAGAGAGAGATTAGGGTTATATGAATTTGGGGATTTAGGGTTTACAACCAACGGCTATATTTCTTCTCAATTCATTGTCTTCTTCACTTCTCTCGCAAACCAGTTTCGTAGCTTTCACGTCTCTAGGTGCTCTCTACTCACTGCCCACTGCCCAGCCTAAAGTAAACCGCGTTTTGTCTATATTTACACTTTTGCCCTCTCTTCTTTGCAACGATTATGTTTCAAACTTCTCGCGCCAATTTGCTTCATTCCACGCAACTACTAAGCCTAATTCACAATTTTACCCTTTCTTAAAAAATAAAAAATAAAAATTGTTGCCACTTATTTTACTTTACATCCCTTTTTTTTCCCTTTATAAAAGGGGGTACGTTGAATTTTTTTTTTTCCCCTTAAAAAATAGGAGTTCAACTAGTCACATCCTTTTAAATACAGTAAAATGTTACGAGGGTTTATGAGTGATGGCAGGACTCTTTTTTTGGGTCTGAAGGAATGGAGTTGTTTATGTACTTAGAATGGGAATAAAAAAGAACTGGAGTATGAAGGAATCGAAGCAATAATGAAATCAGGTTGTGAAGGAATTGGATCAAGAACAAATAGTATTGTGTGAAGGAATCGGAGCAAGGATGAATTATTATAGGAAGGAATCAGAGTCTGGTAATCCATCAGCGTGTTTATTAAATGTCTCGAACCGAAATAAGAATAAAGTTTATTTTCCTTACAATATTTATTAACCTTAAGGAATTGGAATAAAACCAATATGATTACTAAACCCCTCAAACAAAACACTTTCCTGCTTCTCCTACTATTAATTAATAAATTTTCTCGAACGTAAAAAATTATTTTGCTAATAATAAGTACAAAAGATTATTTTGCCAAAAAAAAAATGTACTCAAGATTAATGACTAGAGTTTTCAAAGTTCTTGCTTGCGCAGTTCGCACCAATTGTCTAAGTTATTGCAACTTCCAAACCTAAACTTATCAAAGTTTTACCCTTCTTTATAATTTATTTTATGTGCTATTTCTTTTGGTTTTCTAGACATAATTTAGCAACGCCCCCTGGTGAGAGAGAAGTTTGATGATTGCAGAGCTTTCCTTGACATGGAAATTTTATCAGGATTTCAGTGATACCCTTGGTAAAATTGGGCTCAGATCGCTGGAAGAATGGTGAACGTCCCAATAGCAAAATGAAATTGGGCTCCTTATTGAGACTTATTGGCACAATCTTAGGCCTTACCCAAGCACTAACCACATCCCTTTCGACCAAACAAAGATCTCTTTCGGGCTTTCTTTATTCGGCAATCGATTTTATTGGGCCTGCGTTTGACTTTATCCAAGGTTAATAAATTGGAAATTTACTGGGCCTGCTTGTCAAAAATGAGATTAATGGATTTCTATCTCCCCCTCTCTCTCTCTCCCAAAAATGCACAAAACTATAAAACATGAAGGATCAAGCAAAGGACTCTGGGATGCTTTTCTACTAAAAGGTTATCCACCAAGAATTAACACTGTAGCATCAACACCAACATCAAATCCACGCACAATTTTTTTTTGTCTTTTTTTTTTAATTTTATTCATTGAAATACTTTCCTCTCACCTAACGGGAAGAAGAAGAAACAAACTGTCTGGGTGCGCTAAAAAGATCCTCTCCTTCAAATGGAGAAGTCCAATCTCGAGAACCCGCAGCTGATGCTTCACCATTAGCAGCTCCATCCTGCAGTCCCACAAAGGAAACAACATTCATGTTTGAGGATGCCGTTCTGACTCCAGGCTGACCACCCAACCCAGCAGGTTTTGGATCATAGAAGTTGATATTGCTCTTCATGATAGAAGGGAGTCCTGTCCACAACCCGTTGGGACTTGGTGAAGACAGACCTCTATCCAAACTCCAGTCAATGTTGGTGTAATCTATATGTCCACATGAGCCGCCACCAGCATTCCAGTCTGCCGGAGCAGATGCCCCTGATGAGCCAGCTGAGCCCAACCCTGAGAAGAGTCCAAGGGAGGAAGCAGCAGCAAGTGTTGGAGATGCACCTGCTCTACTCCATATGTTATTCCCTCGGCTTGTTCCAGTGGGATCAGCTGGGCTGCTTCCAGGAACAAGCTGCTGCTGTTGTTGATACTGAAACTGATGGTACATCTGATTTGAACTCAAATTGCTAGGAATGTGGGGCAAAAATCCACTGGACCTCATCATTTCAACACTAGTAGAAGGATACCAATTGGTAGCGGATCCAGGAGGCGATGAACTCATACTAGTGGTAGCGGATACCAATTGCTTTGTATTGACAGATTGAGGACGCTGCATCATAATAACGGGTTCCCTCACAGTTCCAGGCTGAAGGTTCTTTAAGTCGCCCCCAACAGCTACATAACGAGTTTCCGTCTTGACTGGTGGAGATGAGACCTGTAAAGGTGATGCCAACGAATATGAAACTGAAGGATTTGATGCAGAATTTGACCACCTTCTCTCAGCAGGAACTGGTATCTGTTGGGGTTTTGCCCACTCCATCTTTGGCTGTCCTCTCTTCAGAGGCTGCAGGGTTTTACTTGTAGTTTCTATAGACCCTCCAACTGCAGCTGCTTGTTTTGTATAGTTAAATTCCTTATCATCCCTTCTTTGTTGTATAGTAGGAAGAGGATTTGGTTTTATTTGCGGCCTCAAGTTCTGACTAACAGAAACTGGAAGCTTGCCATTAGTACCAGTTGGAGGATCACCAGTTTCTTCCGGCTTAGGTGATACAGAAGGTGGATCTTGCTTTGATGCTCTTAAGCTTTCAGCAGCCTTCTGAAGATCACCCTCACAGGCTACAATAGCTCTTTCAACCTCCTGTTTTGAGCACTTGAACCTTGCTTCCATATCAGCAATCCGAGCAAGTTCTTCTGATATGTCAATTTTCAAATTACCCCCACCAAAGTTTTGATCCCTTGGCTTATCTGCATCTTCACCGCCTTCAAAAAGCCATGCTACTGATTCCTCTACTCTGCCTTCATTCAGGATGAGAGCCATGGTTGCCCGCTCTTGTGAAAATCCCATTGCCACAAGCTGTTGGGCAAGTGCTTCGAGCTTTCTTGACATGAGATAACCACTACATCGTTCATGCAACTCCTGAGCTCGCCGCTCTTTCTGTCGCTGATGCTTCCTCTCATTCTTCTGACGGATTTTCTCTCGCTTGTCATTGTCAGCTCCCGGTACTGCTTCCTGCTTGGTAGGAGGATTAGATGCCTTGTCTTTATGGTCTTCTGACTCACCTGACCAGCTACCATTATTGGAAACAGAATCATACTCAGCTCCAGCAGCAACCGAGCCCCCAGAATGGTCATCTGTTTCATCTATGTTGCGGAAACGACTATTACTGTGAAGAGGTGATGCAGAGGATGTTGGTGACAATTCAAGGTTATGGAATGTTCCTAAAAGTGGATTGTATGCACTAGCTGGGATCCCACTACTTGCATTAGCAGGCCCCGTTGAAGGCTTTAAAGAAGGTGTCTGGGCTTCTTTGCCAGCCTTCTTGTCCTTTGATTTGGATCTGGACGATGCTGGAGACATCTCCTTCAAATTGAAAAGCAAAGCAAACACAATAAATCCTGCAGCGTTTGGCATATAGGATTTATCCATTCAGTACAAAAGAAAAATAGTATATTGCACGATGTTGCTAACAAGTTGCTCTAAGAAAGCAGCATTTCGACACCAAACTAAACCAGGCCATATGTATAGTTTACCACCACAAATACAATCACCAGAATTATACAATTTAAGGTCCAGTTACACAATTCCTTGAACATTTATGCAGAATTCCATCCAAACCCACATTTTCTTAGGCGCAATTCAAGAACATAAAAAAAAATATTGGATGTAAGAACCGAATCAAACCCATCAAATCCACGGTCAGTTTGGATTGGCAAAGATACGCCAGTCTTGAACAAATCACGAATTAGACGGTTCAAATCGAAACAAAATCTGACTCAAAATCTCCAACTAACCCAAATTTCCATTTCTTGAACCAAACAATTACGAACCCAAATCAGAGAATACCACTCACAATCCGAAACGACAACAATTAAAACAAAAGGAAGAAGAAAGAGAATTGAAATTCGTAAAAGCACACACACGACGACAATTCAAGAACCCAATTGAGACTGGAGAATTGATTTGGGGAAGCCTACCTCTAGTCGGTGATCGCTGTCGATCTCAAGAGTGCATTCGCTTTTGGGTTTCTGGATTGAAATGCAAGAATTTGACGCAATTGTGTTCAACGATTAAGGCGAATCAGAGGCCCAGAGGGGAGAGAGCGCAGCGGTTTGGGCGATGAGTTAGGGACTTAGGGTTCGGAATTTTTATTTTTGTTTTTATTTTATTTTTCCAGTATTTTGGTTTTGGGCCAATACAAATAGTTAGGGTTAAGGATTGGAGAGATTGAGGACTTTTAAAAGTTTGGGGAAATGATTTGGTGCTGGATGTCACAGCCACACCGGTGTCGGGGAATTTTTTATTTTTATTTTTATTGCAATTTTAAATAACAAACAATTTCCTTTTCTTTTCTTTTTTTTCTTTTTTTTTGGTGTTACAACAAACTATTTAGTGCATACCCAAACTGCTTTTTTCTGCATGTATAATGTCATGTGTATTATCTACCTGGCTTTTTCCCAAAAATATTTCTTTACTGTGATTTCCCTTCATGTCGATGTAAAATTCAGAGGTACACTGAATCTAAAATTTGATGAATTTGGATAAAAATTGTTTTCCCACTGCTAGATTGTGTTGAACAAAAATATTATGCATGAAATAAATCTTCGCCTAATATAATTTCATCATTATCCTTTATAGATGAAAGTTGTAGCG